TTCATATAATAAGCAGGACTTGCTCACTTGCTCACTTGCTCACTTTAGATTTTGTAACTATCGGACCCCGAGAAATCGTTGATTTGAGCAACTTCTTTTCATGTAAGTCAGGTTAGTTTACTCAAAGTTATTACAGTAATAGTAAGAATATTTGAACAAAAGAAGTTGTAACATATTTAACAGTTGAATTTATGAGCCGATTTAAGCTAGATCACCATGGGAAACCTGGAAGTAGTGAACGATCGTTTTGTTCATCAAAATCCATTCTCGTATTTGACTTATTTAATTACGTTAATTACGTTGATAATTGTGTACAAGGTTAGCTGCGATGTATATTTCAGTAACATTCGGCACACAAACCAATTGGAGTCAAGTACAAGGTCACAGAAATTCCATCGGAAAAAATATTTATTGATTTTTTCTTTGATTTCAATTGTACAGTAACAAATTATTAATGCTTTTTACCTACATAATCATGTTTCGTTTATTTCATATGAAATGTAGCTATTTAAAATAACACACTACCGTACACGGTCTTAATGTGCAAACTTTATTTGATACAAAATAAACTAATATTAAATATTAATAACCTTTGTGTTTATAAATAAATTAAAGGAGATTAGTTTCATTATGGAAACGACAGGAGGCTAGGTGGCCTATGTTAGTCCAGACAATGGTGATCTCTCAGTTGATCCAAGTTTCTTTTGAAAGCGTCAACAGATGAAGCTTTAATCACATGTTGAGGTAATGAATTCCATTCATTGATGATTCGATGGGAAAGTTGACAGTAAGCTGTCAAGTAATTTGCTCTGGGCTTGTGAACTTTTCTAGAGTGTCCTCGTAAATTCTCTGTTTTGGAAAACAAGAAAAAAGAGAGCATGTCAAATGCAAATTCATCACTTGAATTTTTTTATATACAGTAAACAGCATAATTAGTCATATTTTTATCAATATTATGAAATTAACCCAATAAAAGCATACAGTCATTTAAATTAAAAGGGGTTAACTTTGTATTCCTTATTGTTGTACTTCTTTATCATCTGACTCAAACCAAACTATTCTTCGGTGATCATGGTAACATTTTATCAATTCGAACTTTACATAATTATCTATCATCTGTTTTGACAGTATAGTACTGGCCAAATTTCAAAACATAATGAGATAGAAGTAGATATTGGTAACTGTTCACTAACAGCACTATAAATTAATTTCAGAAAATATAAACAAGCAGTACAAATATATGTTGTAGAAAGAGTGGACAGTTTTGCTTAACTGATTAGTGAACGTTTTACTGATTTCAATGGAATGAAACTTAATTTTACAGGGTTTTTATTGTTTTATTCCAAATATTTGTTTTATTGATAGATTTCAGAAATAGCATATCACCCAAAATCAAAGTGTGTATGATATATTTTGATATGAAATAACTACTTTCTTCTCAATAAAAGTGTATTAAAGATTAGGATCAATCAACCATTATTGTGATGTATAAGTAGTCAATTATATATGAGAAAAAATCAGTGAGCATAAAATTCGACAAATCATTACAATTTGGATTCATGGAGATTTTGAATGCTTTAATTATCATACATTTCATATATGTAATCGCTGAAGATAAACATAAACCTATATACCATTGCCTAATACAGTGGTTTACTGAGCAAAACTTTGCGTTTATTAGTTGACGTTAATTGATATACAATATATCATAATTTTCTATCTATACCACTTAGTGAATTGTTGAAGCGAATGATCTCGATTAACCTTGAAATCATAAGTAATCTTTTTCACTACTTGATTTGTCTAACTTACATACAAGAAGAGAAAGATTAATTTTAAGATATTTATATCTATCATTCAAATTCTGAGACAATAGATCTTTTACTTTTGACAATTGATTTATTGACATCAAGTATTTAGTTTTTTTGGTGCAGAATGTTCAGGACATATTCAGAAACATTGTAAATAAATCCTGTTAAGATAAATCTTTGTTTTAAACAGTGTTCTACATTTATTGTAACAATAAATAAAGTTAAATGTATTTTATTGTTAGATAAGGTCATTTTAATAACTATAATTTATTAGTGAAATGAATTGTTAACACATATTATAATTTCAATTTTAATGAAATTTTGTATGCTACTACATAATAAGCTAAAACTGATTTTTCGTTTTTTGACTTTCGAAATTTAGTCCCTTAACAACAACCTGATGTATGTATCTATCATTCATTTAATATATCACGCTAACAATAATTACACCATATATAATTGTACAGATATGTACACAAATCAATCAATCAACCATATCACTATGTATTATCATTTAATACATTGAATATTGAAGATAAAACGCGAACATGGATTATTTTATGTTTATTTTAATGCTTTTATTATAATAATAAAATGAAATGTTTATTTCACATTTTCATATTGTCCCATATTATTTTATCATTGAAATGTTGTTTTCTTTTTTTGGGTAATCCATTTGTCAATTTCAATTTCAATTATTAATATGTATGATTATATATAAACAGTTTTTCACTGATACAAATATTTGTCAAGATTAGAACTAATAGTTTGACAAAAATTGGTCACCAAGTATAGAGAAGTTATTATATGTGAAAATTATATATGAAATAATTTCAACGTTTTGGTCCAGCTAATTTGTTCGGACTTCTTCAGGGTAATAATCAAAATCAAAATCATTGAAGAAATATATAACTTTTCAACAATCAAAAACATACTTACACACTCACACACATACAGTTTGTTATTCAGTTAATTATTTCCATGTTGTTCAACTTTTCGCATGATTCACATTTAACTGACTCGTGTTATCCTATTTTACAAAATCAACATCCAAATATGGTTGATTTAACATAGTATAGTTTTGATTGTTAAAAATCTACATATTTCTTTGATGATTTTAATTTTGGTTATTACCCTGAAGAAGTTCGGACAAGTTAGCTGCACCAAAACGTTGGAAGTATTTAGAATTTCAATCGCTGAGATTATTTCAAATATAGGTGACTATTATGAGTTTTTCACTTCCTTAATATTAGGATTCTTTTTATTATAAATAATCCCTGATTTCTCATGTAACATAGAAATCATTTACGTGGAAAGAAATTCTTCAAAATAATATTAATAAAATATAGTTTATACGTGTAAAGCATGTTTAGACGATGTTTTAGCTATGCTAAAATGACTTTAAAATATCCACATACTTATTAAAGTTAAATGAGGATTATAAATTAGTGTGAGGAATAAGGATTAAGATTAACAACTAAAAGATAGGTTGAGGAATTAGATTTAATGTATTTTTTTATCATGAATTAACAAAAGCTATAATATCATAAATGGTATTTAACTAAATGTGTAAGTGAATTTTACGCCAAAATATAAGATCTGCTATCTTAAATCTGATTGGTTTGTTCATAATTCATGTTCTCGCCTAGAGCATTTTCCACATTGCACAAAGAAAAATTGTTCTTCTTCAGATCAAACTATATTATTTTCATACTTATGTTTTAAAATAATAGGCATAATACAAGATATCTCTCGATTATCCTGTAAAAAAAGCAATTATGACTTTTTATTGGTTTTACATACCATTACTTATAGACTATCATTTTCATAATGGAATAATCTATTAGGCAAATCGATTCTACATAATAGAATAGATGATTTAAAAATTTGAGAATTTTGGGACAAAAACATATTTGATTGTCGTTAATAAATATGTTGAATAAATTGCCAATTTGAAAGAAATTATATTTCCGTGTTTTTTTTGTTTTCATGAAGTTTGTTACAATGATTCTTAAAAATGATCTACTTTTAAAATCCCATATTTTAGGAAATTAAACTTTACTTTATCTGCCTGTATAATACATGTATTGAATCTGTACTCAAATTTTGCTTCTAAAAATTTATTACAATTTGTTAATTTGGCAGTAGTAGTTTGTATGTTAGTAATCAATAATTTTGTATTGGTAAATAATCAATTTAATTATGTCAGCTTAGTTATTCACATCGAGTTGAAAAACTTTTTTCTTGGATATAACTATCATGAATTTACTAAAAGTCAAACATTTGGCTGATATTATACACATTAAACTTGAATTTTAACCTATACACTGAGTAATATAATGTTAAAAGGACGAAATATCTGATATAATTATTCCTTAGATTGTTTTTTTTTCTGAAATGTACTGACCTATGATTTTTGAACGATATTCGATTATTAAAATGGATTAATAAATGAGATATCCTAGTCTTTAATTATGGGATTAACAAATGTTTGGGACATTTGACAGTATTTATAGTTTACTTTTGGTGTGAAGTACATACTTATAGCTTTCATCATTCTGCTAAAGAATTTGAGTTTGACCAATTTATAAGCTACTTGCATACAGACAGTATTTCTTTCACTTATTATCAAAAGTCATATTTATGTAAACGATAAACCTTTTAAAGTGGTCTTACTGAGGTAATAGTTCAATTCGTAGTAAACAAAATGGATTTATTGTATTTTGCCTTTTAGACCATCAAGCATGTTATTTATAAATGGTTGTGATTACAATCAATAACAACGAATTAAGTTTAACTTGATCTACCTTTTAATTTTGATACTTGTAGATCAGGTAAACTATTCATGTTTCCTGAAGAGAACATGGTGATGTTGCGCTCTGTGAAAACTAAGCAACGTTGATTGAATCTCCAATGTCACAGAGCTATCTTCCAGGAAATTTTCTAGGGTTACTAATAGTCCCAAGTTTGGATACAGAAGAGGGATTAGGTGTGGGATTAGCAACATTTTTCATAAAAATACCTTGGTGCAAGGACACTAATCAGATAAATCATTTGAACCACTTAAATTTGAAAGAAAAACAGACCACAGTTTTCATTGACAGACTTTAAAATCTTTGATATTGAAAACTATTTCACGATTTGATTTTCTTGCTCTAAATGTTAAACTTTCTTATTTTTTAATTTTAGAAGTAGACATATTCCTAGGTCATTTGAAAATGTTTAAATAGGATGCTTATCTGGAGACGTTTACTAATCATTCTGTTGAAACTGATCAACACTTGGTTTATTGCTGCAACTGAAGAAAAGTCAGTTCAAAAAACAGAAAATTTAGCTATAGGTAAGTTTTCGGGACAAAACTTCTCTGGGACTAGCCAGTAAACTTTAAGCTCCACATTATTTGAAAATCTTTTAATCATCACAATGACAATCTTATTAAAATATAACATTGTTCGTACAACATTTTTGAAGTTTGCACAATAGCAGCGTGGATTTATTTATTTCTCTTGTCATTCAGGATACCAAGTTTTTGTATCAGTAACACTGTCATCAATCATACATTTTACACTTCTGCAGAAAGTATCCGTTTTAGTACGTCCATCTATCGAAGATTGTGTGTAATAGTAAGGGAAAGAAGATCATCACTTCTGAATCTTAGTAAAAGTGAAAATTCTGTTACTTAAAGTAGGTTAAAAGCTATTATCTCTCTTTCCAAAATAGAATTCTATATATGTGTGGTTCTTTCATGTGATTATAAATTCAGATTTGTTTTCAGTGAGATTATTATCAATGCTTTATACTTTTTAAGTTTTTTAGTAAAATTGATATAAGTTTGAATATATTGGATGTTAGGAATATCATTCCTCTTGAGCTCGTTTATTTTAACACGCCTTCCGTCATGTGTTATTTCCGTATTTTACTCAACCTGTTATAACCGTTAAAATTTTTCACTTGTCTAAGTTATCTAGCCATAGCTTGTTTGAGAAAATGACATGATGCTCTAACTCAACTCTCTAAGGTCGATGTATGCTTAATCTTATATAAAGGTAGAAGCGAATATATTTGACTTGAATTCTACGGACTCTCATTATAGAAGTTTATTCTGTTTCAGTGATCTATATCCAAGGTTCATAAGAAACTTTTACGGTAATTTTTTCTTATCTATGTATCACATTCATATCTAGTCTAAAGTGAATTGAAGTAATGTAGGCCTTATGCCTTTTGGTACCTATTAACCTTCAGTCATTTAGCATTTTTTCCGTCTCCAACCAACATTACATGTGTTGCATTTTCCAAGATTATTTAAAACGAGCAACTAATTGTATGGCTTTCGTTGCTGCTTAAGGATCGGAGAGTAAAAGTGTTCACTTTGTGAATTATATTATGAAATATTCTTTAAGTCATAAAAACTTTAAATAATAGAAATCTTGCAGGATTTCATAATGACTGCTTACACACCTTTGAAAAGATAGTGATATAAGAACATAAATAGTTTTTGTTACATAAGTTTTGTCAGCTTCATTAAACGGGTTTTCTTTAAGTCACATAAGTATCAACCATTGATAGACTACGGTACGGTCTTATCACCTAAATTACAGTGAATAACAATCGTCTTATTGAATAGAATTGTTTAACTTATTCAATAAAATGGCGAGCAATTGGAAACATTATATTGGAAAGTACAAGATTAAAAAAATTTCAGGTGTTGCGTTCAAATACTTTTAGCTGCACTGACAAAGAAACACTCAAAATATGGTCGCATCATACTGTGATATTATTTTGGTGTGTTCATAAATTCATTTTAACGGTTATTTGACGTCCAAGAAACAGTTGACAAATTTGAGTGATAGTGTTATACTACTGAATATATTTAGTAGTAACATATATTTTTGTAACAAATTAAACCATGGTAATGATTAAATTTATTGGCTGACACTTGCCATTAGAAACGAGGGTAGTTGAATGTCAGTCCACAGATTTTGGTCTTAAAATATTCATCTCTGAGGATTTGGTGGTCGGTTTTATGAATCAAGCAATAACATTTAAAATGCATGTAGGACTTAATAAAAGATTTAGTATTTTACATTGACAACCAACATATTACGGCACTTCTTGAACGAAATACCAGCAATCTGTTTTTTATTCCATCAGATATTCGAGGATAACATGCATTACGACATGAATATGACATTCACTAATGGTTGGCCTTATATTTTTATGTAACGAGTTCTTTACAGTTGAATTTAGTAAACCGGAAAACATGTTTCAGATATTTGTTCATGTTCTTAATATACATCTAATCTTGTTAAGAATTAAGTGGTAATGGTTTTTTAATTATCTGATTGCTCAGTAACATTTTGAAATTTGGTTACAACGGGGAAGTAAACCAATAGACCGTCATGCAAATAGATGAGTGAAATGACTTTGTCTATAAGAGTATGATAAACTTACACAACATATGATCGAGTCATAGTGGTTGTGTTGTTTAAATGCATGTATTTAAATACACTGATTAGCTGCCCCTCTATTTATTCACTTCCTTACAGTTAATAAGTACGCATAGAAATCCATTCACCTAACCTCACATAGTTACATGCATTCATTTAAATTTACCTCCCAACTATCGACCACATCTTCGTTGAATCCTGTGACAAATATTTCGGACTAAACTAAGTAAAGAACTATAAGGCATAGTAATTTAGCCACTTCATGTGACTACAAAATATGTTTAATAACGGCCTTCGTCCGATTTCGCATCATTCAGAGGTCATTAAGGCTTACGACATCGTTTAGTATTTTTAAAAAATCTTGAGCTGAACAGTCATGTTCTTCTAGAAACAATATATCTTATTTTATATTAAATGAAAGTATTATCCTATTCCCAGTAACAAATATATGTAATCCTCAAAGAGTGATAAGAATAATAGTATCAAACAAAAGAGATAATTGTTTACTTGACGTACATGATAAAGATGCAAAAGAGATGCATGTTTGATAAAAAACAACTGATAAAAATCTAAGGTTGCGCCAGGTAATTATTGACGCTAGTATTTTAGATGCTATGTTAGTCGAACTAATACCTCCATGGTTGTCACGGGATGATTTTGACCCTCTCTTATATATTGGGACAATCAGTGATTGTGGCTAGTTAGATGGGATTAGGTTCAACTCCCATATTTTAGCTAAAATATTAGTCAACCTAATCGCTAGAATTGGACTACCATCCTTGAAGTCCTCTTGAGCCGATCCATCTGGACCAGCTTCTCTTCCTCGTTTTAGATTGACTATAGCCTTTTGAAATTCGGCTAGCGTCGGAGGACCTACTTCAACGTTGAATTCAACATGTCTGGGAATGGTGGGTAGTTAAGGAGTAGCTGAAGGCCAGCTAAACTGTTCTCTATGAAAGCATCCTCTATGCACATGTTTCATATCTAGCTTCCCTTTGAACCGCTTAGTCTGGATAATTTTGAATGAAAGCTCTGGTGGAAATAAATGATCAAATTTGACTGGACGTCCAACAATTGAATTGCTGACTGGTTCACATTCACCTACAAGTAATCATGGGGGAGTGTGTTTCGACAGATGTTGGTAATATTACAGTACTTTATCAAAAACTACTACAGATAATAATCTAACGGCAAACTGTAGAAACCCATAAAATCCTAAAACCCTGTTGAAGACTAAAAGACAGGAACAATTAAATAACGTGACAAAACTATGAAAGGAAAACAGTAACAGATGATTAATAAATCAAGTTGTTTCGAATTGTGTTCAATGAGTTACTACAATGGATATTCATTCTTATGTTTTTAAAAGTATTGCATGATACATTTTTAATTCTTTCAAACCTTGAAGTATTTTGCTTACAATAGTAAAAAAGTATAATTTTGTTTCAGAAGCGGAAGTCTAGTATTAAACTTAATTGACTAAGTTCTCAGTTGAAATAAATATATCAAAATGCTGAGTTAAGAATAGGATGTAAAAATATTTCTGGTTGTTTCCATTACTTAAATCAAAACACGACTAATGACATTATATATAAGCCTGTAAAAGTAAGGGAATTTACTGTCATATCTATTTTATTTTAATCTTTTTAGTTAACAGGTAGGAAGAGAAACTATGATTAATTACTTGTTGCAGGTTATATGATTTCACTGACGACAAGAATTTTCGATCAATCTCGTGTGAACGTCAAAAAAACAAAGAAACTACACTTGATTATCATTATTAGTACTTCATGATCTTTTCATAACAGTGAATGAAATTTCGAAAACATATCCAATGTCATGTGGACAGTTAATAAAACCAAGCTTTAAATAATGACAATGACATAATGTTCACTTGGTATTGTTTGGCTTGTATCTTCCCATTGAGGAGTAAGACTGCAATTGATCAGTCTGTTATTGACATATGTGTATACTGTGCGTATGCCTCGATATTGTCTTAATTCACAAGCTTTTTGTAAGCAATGATGGAGTTGATGTCCACTCTGGGACTCGAAACTAGTACCATTCGCTTCAAACGCCATGGTGTTATACACTCAGCCATTGAGTCCTAATAATATGTTAGTTTTAATTCACTACTTTTAGTGTTGTAGAATGAATAAGTCCTCTAACAGACAAACAACTACAATTAATTATAAAACAATCAACTTTAAGTACATTTTATTCGCTTGTTATTTTATATGAAAATACAATTAACTAAAAGCTTTTCTAACAAATGTCTAATATTTTGAAAGTCTTTAATAATTAAGAACCATCTTTATAATCATGTCTCATTTCATGCCTACATAAAAATGGTTTAATACTGTAGCTTTTAAACAACTTCAAGTTATATGTATATCAATTGAATTCCCAAGAGTAAAATAGATTTTATTCTTTTAATTTAATGATATGAACATTTCTTATTTTAAAATTTATACAATACAAACTATATTCATAATCATTTTGATGATAAACTATAGTTAAATAAGTTTTAGTATTTCATTATTATTATTATTATTATTATTATTATTATTATCAGATTAATGTCTATTAAATTTCATTATGAAATACGTAATACCATATATAGTCATTGAGGTAATCTGATTAAGTATCTGATTTTATATCTATATTGTATTATTTGATCAACAAATGTTATATAATACTGAGAATTAGATGAAACAGTAAATGATCAGTTTTAAGAATCTCTTCAACTAACTGTGATTTTAACAACAATATGTTATTGTGTGTGACCATAGTGAACTATTATTATGCAAATAATATATATATATATATATATATATATATATATATATATATATATATAATCATTATTGCTTATTCGCATACACAAACCGTTCTCACTAAAACAATCCTATCTTCAAGAAAGCATCAAACAAATGAATATGATTTAATATTTTCCTTTAAAAAATCTAGAAATAACGTTCTATTTCAAGATTAACTAGTTTTCGGCGTCGACTGACAATATATTAGTAGTAACGGTTTGTGAAGTTTTATAAAGTATAATTTTCATATTAAACGAATGAACGTATATCCTATAAGTAGGCTATGTGACCGATTATTTCAAGATAACAGTTTTTTTACTACAATTTTCACTTTGTACTATCAAATGTTAAGAAAAAAACAACCCTTTTTTGCCTTATTGATATAAATTTTGTTAACTGATTGCAAGAATTTACGTACTTATTTCTATTTTCTATAGACATTTTGATTGCCTTTTAAGTTTTCACTACGTCAAGTTCCTCTTATGAAGCTATATATATATGTTCATGCAGAAAGTTTTGAAGTGGGATTTTATAATTCTGTAAACGAATTCTTATTGAATCAAAATGAGTGCTTATTAATGAACGTTATGCAGTGATACGAATTGTGGTTAACTAATGGCTGTCCACAAGACCAAGTTGTTTTCTTAACCTCCAAAATTATTTAACATTAAAGACAAGAACAGTAGACAAAAAAGAGGTTTATACTAATAATTAACATTCCTATATGCAACTAATTAAAGGAAAATCTATATGAATAAGTAACAAAAATGACTGAACATTATCAATTCTTTAGATCACTCATTCTAGGAACAATTTAGTTTTAACTGTTAAGCCTAATACTTATTCGTCATGTTCTAAAAAACATTGATCGATATAAATTTAATTCTATATGAAGCTGAAGAAATTGTATTTGATGGTTCTGAATTTCAAAAAACTAACTACTAATTGCATTACAAGCAAAGTTAGATGGTAGTTGACAGTGGAATCCAAGACAAAAGATTCGTCCTATTTAGAACTTATAAGTGAATAACTCTAAAATGCAAATACATCCAACTGACAAGTTTGAAATAGAACGAAAAACGTATCTTGAGTTCCACTAAAAACCGCATTTCATTTATTTTATTTTGACTTGTACATAGTGGTACTATCGAGGCGATCCACTCAGGATGCACATATAACAGAAAAGAATGATCACTTTAATCCTAAACACAAATGGAATGATTCAAACAACCGATACAAAGAAACTATAATAGAATATAATAGAATATAATATTCCGCTTGATGTTTACTGGTCATTTGGTTTGGGTTTGTCAATTGTGACAGTTCTCAACAAAATAAACAAATCGGATGATAGAAAAAACCAAAATACATGTTTAACTAGCTAGTGAATGTATTATGATTTGAAACAACAAAATCTAAATTTAGGTCAATAAATGTTATTAAATTTCATACATAAAATGGTTATAACACGTTAATGAAAGATCATCATAACTTATGACTACACAACTTTCATAAATAAAGAAGAAATTATTAATGATAAATCATAGGGTTGATGAAGTACTTTATGCATGAAATGACGAGTAACAGTGTATAGATAATTATTTATGACCTTATGAGTTTTCATACTATTCATGATAAATATTTTAATTTATTCAATTGTTAACGTACCTCAATTTAATTCTGTTTCAAATCTGAAAAGTATAATAAGTTGCTTGTTTCAATGATTTTACAGTTCACATCTTGAGTGATATCATTAAAATATTAGTCTAAATATTAAAAATTACTTTCTGATCAGTCACCATATCTGATCATCAACGATTTGGCTTTTGTAGGTTCATTTAACATTTATATTTTATAACAAATTAATCAATGTATTGTATTAAACTTGAAAACTTCAAAATTTAATATTTCTGTTATTATGAATTCCTTTATCTCGTTCAAAGAGTCATTTTCCATATAAGTTAATAAATAAAAGTCGCTTGATAAATTTCGGTTCAGTAGTCTATATAAACAAAATAACCTGATTGTGGTTAAATGATCAGTAAGATGATTCGAAAAAATGAATTAATGTTCATTGTAAAAAGAGAAATATCAATCAGTAATGAAATTTGACCAATTATATTTACATAGATCTGATGATAATTCAAAAGCAGTAGAGAAAAACAATTCATTCAAGCTTAAATTATAAAGTTTATTTATCGGTTAATTAGCTATGTTCAAAGGTCATTTATATCTCTTGTACTTCAGAAATAGTTAAATAGAAACTATAGAACAGGTACTTTAGCTAAACGACATCAGAAAAATGTATACTATTTACCTTCATATTTTGAAGCGTCTAATGAACCTTGCAAACAATAGTCATATGATGATTTACGTAATGTATGACAATCATTAGACTAATAATTCACATTCATCGGTTTTAGTTGAAGATACGTATTTTAAAATTCACGACAGATTATTGGTGGGGGCAGGTCAAAGCAAACCAAAAATGAAATTTGTCAGACTGTTTAAATTAGACCTTATTACTTATTTAGGCTTGTTATTCCTTGACGAGTGTTGGTCAACGACTAATAAATATCCAACTTCATTACCTAGACAAAATTTATTATACAAGAATGGATGTATCAATACTGAGCATTTAAACATGAATCTAATATTGTCAAACTCTTCACATTGTGCGTGTATCTCACTCCCTAAAAAATCAAATGCTATGCTGACCCATCTACCTAATAATAAACTTATCCATCTAGATTTATTTTAAATATCCATTAAAACTTTATTCATATAACTGATTTGTTGATCAAATTTCATAACAATATAGATGATTAGTGAATATGGCAACAATAAGTTAAATTTATTTATTTATTAAATAAGAAAGAAACTTTTAACTGATCTTATACTAGGGCGAAACAACCATCCAGTATTTCCAGATTTTCCATGATGATCTAGCTTTAAATGACTTATATATACAACTATTAAATTAATCTAAAAAATAAAGTTTAATATATTCTTATCAACAATATGTTAATTTATAAAGTGACGTTTAAGTAATGAACATTTTATCTTAAGTTTATCAATATTTTCATATCTTGATAAATGAACTGTATCTTAGGTTATTATTTAATAAACTGTTTACCTTATCAACTTTATAGAACCCATTTTATTTGTATTCTAATTCATATTTTAAAATCTCTATTCTTTCCTATAACTTCATTAAATAGTTACTTAGGACATGTTATATTTCATTAAAAATCATATAAAACGGAAGAATAGAAACAAGAAAAAAATGATAAAATAAAAATAAACTAATGATTATAACAAAAATACATTGTTATCTAAATTAATTTAAGGAACTTTACTTTTGATTGGTTAAAATAGTAACCAATCAAAAATATTAAAATAGTTTCTATTCATTAAAACAATTCATTTTGATTAAATTCATTTAAACAAAAGAGAAATAATCATTATCATGATTTATTGTAATAAAATTATAAAAATAAAATTATATTTCACAATTTTTACAAATAGTTTAAATAATTTCTATTTATGATTGTATTACATTATATAATTATCATAAATTTATATTTATTAATTCTATATAAAAATGTATATACAAATGATCATCTTGTCTATTCAGGAGCTTGTAGTCAATATGATTCAAATTTTTGTTCAAGACAAGTAGAAAATAGTGTTTGTAATCATGAGAAAAATGAATGCTTTTGTCGGAAAGGATTTGTTGCAATTCGTGAAAATGGTCGAGTAACATGTAAAACTTGTAAGTATGCTTTTGTTTTGTAGAATAAATGATAGATGTTGTTTTGTTTTCTTTATATACATTTTAGAATATTCAATATCTAAGAAATATTTGTTGAATTTTATTTTATTTAGACTACCACATAGTTTTTTAAGTAACAAAATGAAATCTGTTATGTCTCAATAGATATAATTACTTATTTACTTACTTACGCCTGTGACTCCCAATCGAGCATGGGCCGCCCATCAGCATTATCCAATCAACTTTGTCACTAGCGTTCCTTTCTAGTTCTATTCAATCGTTATTCACTCTTTTCATGTCTGTTTCCATTTTTCGGTGTAATATGTTCTTTGTTCTCCTTCTTCTCCTTTGACCTTCAGGATTGCAATAGATATAAATATATTTTTAATATTGTCAAATTGATAAAGAACCTTGTCAAAATAAACTGATATTTCTTTTTACATAAAACGTATTATAGATCAAGATAATAAAAATAAATAAATAATAAAATGATTGCCTTGTAATCAATATAATATGCAACCGATTGATTTCGAAATGAGGCATCTTCCTACAATTCTAAATCACGATCGATAGACTCTATTTCAAATTTACCTAGATATCAGTTATTTGTGTGTTCATAACCACCAAAAGCATCTTTAACGTTATTGATCACGTTTATTTGTATCTACCTGAATATTTTTCTCTCTTGGATTAGTGCCAAAGAAATTATAATTATCAACGTGGAAGGTTAACAGACATTATTCATGCTATCTGAAGTTACCTTCGTCAAACACTAAATGTACAATGCATTAGAAATCTTTTTCATCTTGGCATGGTACTCTTCAATTAGAACATCTTATCACCCAACTTTATCATAAAATAAACAAAATTATTCGAGTAGTTGGGAAAAGAAACAAATTTCCAGTTACAGTAATTTGTGAAGTAGTTAATATAGTTCTCAACATATCTTACGTTTGATTTTATCATTAGATTACTATGATTTCATTTAGGTTATTTACTAAATCCATCACTAATTTAACAATAGGGAAAAATAATAGCACAATAAACCTAATATTATTAATATAAGTACTAGGTTGATTATAAATAGAAAAAAACCTCTTTTCATTCAACTTTTTAGAATATAATGATGTAATTAATTACTAAAATGTGCTTGTACAGGAATAAACGATTAACAAATATAAAATTTATAAAGAATAATTTGATGAAAGTTTTATCTGTTTTTCTAATTAATCATTCTAAAGTGGTTGTGTTTTTCAAAATGTATCTTTACTCCAAATGTAAAGAGGTCAAGTGGAATGACTCTGCCTGTAGCACTTCTGGAGTTACTGCCGGTCCCAAGCCTGGGTAAAAAAGGACGGTTGGACATGGGTTTAGCGACCCCATCCCGTAGAAAACTAACTAGCTAAAAAAACGCTAACCAGAATGACAGCAATTTTTGTTTGCTTTCATTATTCCTTACTCAATTCATATTGATTCTTGATAGAATATTTGATCTGATTCTTTATTCACATTACATTACAGGTACTTTTAATTATTACCTTCTTAATTTTAGTCATTTTATAATTTTAATCAAGTGTACATTATCTACTAATCAGTTAGAAATTTACAAGTGATAATAAACATACTTTGACAGTAACTGGTGGTGTATCCATCTTGAAATTTCTAATTTTTTATGATAATTATTCTGGACTCAGTTTTAGTGCCGTATTATAACCTATTAAAAAGAATCCCGCTAATTCATGTTCGAATTTTAATTAATTTAATTTTTTTAAATTCACATATCCCGGTTTTATTCACCTGACTAAAATTCACTGATTAAAATGGACTTATTATCATCCTCCTCCTCATTATAGGGTTGTGGAGATTGTTGAGCTCTAATTAAGATCATGAACCGGTCAGTGTTAGAACACCAATGAAAACCTGGAGGTACTGTACGGCTGTTTCATCCCAGTACGGGGCTCTTCAGTAGTACGCATCCACGATCCTGTAAGCAGGACTTGGACGCAACGTCCTTGGTCTCGTCCACAAGCCCTTAACTTTCAGACCACTGAGCCAGCATCCAACGGTGTTAATGTCTAACCTAGTTTTGTCTGATTTGATTAATGTGACACCTGGAACAAAAGTGGTTTCTTGAATAATTAAGCTGAATTCTATTGTTAAGATTTGTACATTCATGAGAAAAATTAACTCAAAGAGTTGAAAGTATCAGTTAAAATACAATCACCAATATACATTGAAACTAAAAGTATGTGGCTGCTTGTTGTTTGCAATTATAAATACGAAGTAGTGGCAGTAAAGTGATGTTAAAGTCTGCTTGAAATGAATAAAACAAACAAAGCTGTTGAAATTATCAACATAAGTGATGTATAACCACGTAAAGCGTGATAGCAAGCAAATGTTTAAAAATACAACTAATGGAACAAAGAATATGCACGCATTGATTTTGGAGCAGATTATTATCACATATACTATTTTTCTGTTTCGATATTATAAAATTATTTCACTCTGAAAGTCCTTACAATACTAGAAAACGTGTTATTTTTAATAGGTTGATATACATATACGATTATTATCAGGATTAACACAATTCTATGGATGTGAAAACTCTTGAAAGGTATGGTGCATTGCTTTGAAATTGCTTTGCCCATAATATTCTCACAGAACATTTACTCTCTCATTGATGAAATTACTGCTAAACCATAACTGTCAAGACTGTTATTTATTTTTAATGCATTTTATCTAGTATAAAACACACTCTTTAGTCTTTGATCCGTTGACATAAAAAATACTGATGAATTGACTTAAACGTTTGACTGTTTTATGCAAATCTGCATCATTCACAAAAAACAAGTATTATTTTTAATCTCAAGTATCCATTTTTTCAATTTATAATTGTAATTTTTAAAAATGGAGACATTCATAAATTAGATTTTAATGGATATATTAATCTTTAATCCATTTATTTTCTCAGTGCTAACCGATTTAAAATGTCGAGTAGATCGTGACTGTGTTCATGTGAATCGAAGCAGTTGTCATCCTGGTGCCGGTTACTGCTCATGTCCTGGGAATACTATATACGTTCCTGAAAAACACGCTTGCAGTAAGTATAATAAACGTAAATTAAATTCTACGAAACTTTAAGGCAGTATTTCATAGATAGTATTTTCTTTAGATGTCAGATCATTTATAACAATCTCTACTATTTAACGTGACAGATACATGTTTGATTTCAAGAAGTAGGTTTGTGTGAAATTTCACTTACAATATTGATGAAACTTTTAAATCATAAAAACCTCAATATTGAAAAGTCAATGAAATACAGTGCTTCGTACCATATTACGTAATCCACTATTTTTAACATATTTATTTATAATTTCAAACCTGGTGAATATCATAAAGTTTAGAACGCGGTCATATTTTTCACTAGGAATTTCCTAAAAAAATTTAAAATCAATCTAAGTCTTTAAATAACTTTATACTGTGAGACATTTTCCTCTAAACTAATTAGTAGGTCTACGTTTAGCAGATGTGAAACTTGGAGTAAACATGATTTGAACACAGTTGCCATTTATTAATCACATATTATTGGGGAGCCTAAGCTTAAAATGTAACATCCATGTTATAATCTTTAATTTATTAAAAGTTATTTAACTAGTATTATTTTGTGATGAAAATAGTACTTTGTGTTATCTAATTTAAAAATTCCTTTAATATTTTGTTAGATGTTTTTGAAATATAGCTGAGTAACTTTTGTTTATTGAGTTTATGGGCTTACTGAATCTAGAGTACATTGTTACGTCTAGTGAAATGACTTTACTACTGATGATTCTTTTAAATATGTTCATACAAAATACGGTAAAACATTTCAATATGCAAATTTTTGGATTAATAAGCCTTTAACATGAACTAGTCAATTCCTCACCTCTAATAAAATCAGTAACTCAAAACACCACAGTTACTGATTATTGACCTATTCAATACTGATTTACTACTTAGCTCTTTACATACATAAGCGAATTGATTTATTATGACCCCTAAAATTTAGTGTGCTACTAGCACTTCATTTAAAAATCTCTGATATTAATCCATTCAAGTCAGTTGCATTCCATGCTTAATATAACCTAAGACAAACTAAATAAATTATATATTTAATTGCTAAAAGAGAGTTCATTAACTTTGTTTTCAAAAATAACGAAACTTTGAATGATAGATGCATCATAATAATTTTGAACAGCAAGTCATACACCCATTAAAATATAACTATGATGCAACAAATATTTGTTTCATTTCGGTATATGAATCTACAATTTTGAGATGGTAGTGTTTCTACTGCATCACATTCTACTAATAACTCCTGAAATGTAACAAATGTTAACAATACTGATCACTTTAGTTGTTCATAACTTAAAGGAGAAATTTATACAAAAAACCAAGTCACTCAAACCACTTCACACTCAGAATCAAGAGGTTAATTATGTTAATGCAGCTCACGCAATTGTTTTGTTTTTAGATTTTTGACCTAATATTGTTCAACAACTTGAAAGGGCAGTCCAAACAAAAATAATAAGAGACTAAAATGATAATTATGCTATTATAATATATAAAATGTTGCTACATTTTATGGTCGTCAACAAGTGGCTGAGTTACAGAAATCAGAAGATTATATTAAAATATCTGCATCGCATGTAACAGTATAGCTGGTTTATAGGACAAGTACTTTCACTGTATGAATGAATATAATGTGCTAAGGAACAATTCTAATTGTGTCTGTTTTAAATATCTCATAAAATGTAGTATAATTTTTTTTCTTTTTTCGAATATAGGGTCGCGTTTTACCCATCCCAGTGATCCATTTTGTGATGTATGCCTTCAGTTGAAAGGAACCTGTTTTAAATATGAATTATTTGAAAGAATTACGACAGATCAAAGGTAAATAGTTTTTATTTCGTTATCATATCGAGTATTTTTACAAAGGATATTGATCCTTGGTTCTCAAAATGAGACTAGGTTATATAACAGAGTTATTCATATTCTATTTTATGAATGTCATGATTATTAGCATGTTATGGTTGTCCCAATAAAGCAATTAAACTTTCTCTGTAAATGTTTTAGCATATGTTCTATGTTTACACAAAAAAGTATGAGTGAACCGATTCTACCATTAGCAAAGCTAGTTTATTTTAACAAATTTAAACAGTTATACTTTTCATAGCTCAATTATAGTTTAATATTTTCCCGAAAAGAAAATGTTATTTGAACTTTGTAGTCAAATTATTGATAATGCTGACTATGTATCTTAACCTTGGGTCATATACATATGGAACTCAATAAATTATAAATATATTTATATACAAACTTAGGATATGTTCCTTTACTATGAGAATTATAGATATTAACAAGAAGAAAATTTCTATATTCGCTTTTCTAGACAACTTATTCGATTTAACATTAATAGACTACTTAAAATTAAAATATAAATTTTTTTTCATAATATTTATTACTGAGTATCAATGAAGATAATTAGTCTACTTTGAATTTAATACCACACTTACTTACGATCAAAATTGATTATTTTTCTTTGTTTTTTGTTTTTTTACTTCAATAAATATTATTTTTCAATTGTTAAAATCATGGGTTATCTGAAGATAGACCACCATGGAAAAACTGGAAGCACTGGTTAAACGCTAGCGCACGAGACAATTACGTCCCGGGATTGAATCTCGCGGGTGGCCGGACCGTGGATGCGCACTGCTGAAGAGTCCCATACTAGAACGAAACGGCCGTCCAATGCTTCCAGGTGTTCCAAGGTGATCTAGCTTCAATTGACTCATAAGTTCAACTATTGGAATCTCTAAATCTCCACAAAACCCCTTTTGAAAATATTATTTTTCTTTAAAATCTTGGTAATGACCTAATTTTAATTAATCTTAATCTTCATATATAATGTAAAGTGTTTATTTATTTTTTATTTTTATTTTTTATTTTTCATCGTGAAAACATAAAATAAGTAACACCTATCTAATAAGAATTCAATAAAATTAAGGAAGAATCTGATTAGTATATAGTTGACCTTTAAAGAAAACGAAAAACATAATGAAAGTTCAATACTTAAATAAAAATTTATAATCGAAATGTTAGTTTATCTGAGTTTAATATAAGTTAAGTAGACATAATTATGATTATACATATAATCATATTAAACGTGTTTTATTTTCCACTTAAAGAACAATGAAATTTCTACTTGATTCATTAACCAATATCAAAATTTAAAAAAATTTTTGTATTACTTTTCACTAATAATATTTATACATATAGCAAGTGTGTGTACTTCATCATAGATCATATCATTCATGAAGGATCGTGAATACACACTGCTGAGGAGTTCAGTACTTCTAGGTTTTAAATGTTGACCTAGTTTAAATCAACTCATAAATTCAACTATTAAAATCACTACAATCTCCACAGATCTCAATTTTGATAATTATAACTATGATAAAAAAAGATATTTACAGTGATTGATCACTGAGTAGTTATTAATGTCATGTGTGTTCAGTGTTTAGTATTGGTTGGATTCTATCGATCAAGTTACAATGCAGCCATTAGTCTAAGAGTCCCGAAACTAAATGGATTGTGTAAGCTGTTAGAGGATATATAGTTCAGGATGAATATATTTCAATGACCTAAACTTACCAATGAATTTCTAGGTAAGATCAATATATTCCTTGAAAAGTAAACAGTAAATAGTTCATTTAAAAAATGGAATATGATTAATTGTTATTCATTATTATGCCCGTCTTAGATATGTTGATTAACAAAACCGATAAAGAGAAGCTGTAAACTTGAGTATGTTGGAAGCTGAAGCAAACTGACCAGTTTATAAATAACAATAATAATAACTTGTTACAAAAACAGTAAAACACAGAATTGAATATGTATACACAAATAATACTTAGTAAGACTATAAAATGAAAAACGTTATATTGTGCTTGATATATGACAAGAGCTTAAGCGATACAAAATAAAATTATCAACCATAATAAAACGCTTTTTGATTCAAGAGCAAACAAACTGTTGAGTATTTCTTTTAACTCCAAATTGTAACAAATCTAGTAACAGTTATAAAAAAAGCAATACAGTTAGATCAATACAAAATGGATGCAAAATGTACAGTAAGGTGAGATTGTTTGAAAAAATTTTGTACTGAGCACTTGTCACAAGGATGTTTATAATGTGAAGAATATAATACAATTAAGCTGTATGATTAGAAGTAATAGTATTTAACAGCACAGCACTTACAACAGGGTATACAATGTACCATCCCTATAAACACAGCGTTGTCTTCAATAAGCCGTGTTAAAAGGACATAATGGTTATAGGAAATCGGTATAGCTACGATTCAATGATCGTTTTGGAACAACGAATATCTCAGAGGGGGTAACAAATTTTCTCTGCAAAGGAGACTAAGACTTCATTTTGTGAATGAATAATGTAGAGAAGTACGGTTCTAATCCATTCACAAGGTACCTATTGTTCTATGCAACTAAAAAGAAGTAAAGTAAGATAGAATGTGAGAAACAACGACAATCACTGAGATGGGTCCATTATCATATTGATGCTTGACTGTTTATTAACTTGCTAACTTGGGTAGATTTTGTTGAAACTAACCATCATATATCCAAGTGTAGCTATATCATTACATATGAGTCGAAGAAATAGAAAGTTGAATAGTTGTTTACTATTCAATTACGGACACTGTAATCAAAATATATACCGTAGACTTATTTCCATTTCCCCGAAAATTCCTACAGTTTAACAATTGCGACAAATAATATTCGGTTCTGAAAGTTCTCCAAAATTCTGTTTATTTATTCTACCGACTTTTATCTCGCAAACACTGCAAAAAGCAAAAGAATTTCATTATAATGTCCATTGGTCGTTTTATTAGTCCTGTGGATAATTTGGCGAGACTATAATTTAAGACAGCATATCTTGGATTTTGCGTGAAAGTTACTCATTTGGCTCAATACCATTTACGTAATATAGCTGATATCAATTAGTGATGAAAACATTAAATTTTACTCTTTACCCTGACGTTCATCTGTAAATTTAGCGTTGCTAAAAGGTCGTCCAAAAAATGTGGTCTCACCGATAATTTTATTATATTTTCATTAATGAAGAAGCAAAAAGCAAAATGGTAATTTGTATGGAACATTTTCATATTCTGTCCGCACCTAGTAGACATGCATAAGCCTGTAGATCACTGTAATTAGAGAAATACTAATTTATCCCTTCAAAACTAAATGAATCAATTGTTTGGGCTGATCATTATAATGTTTATGAAAAACAACCAGAACTAACACCATCCACTAGTTATAGCTATAGCATACGAATTTAGGATCGCTCATGGTACGAAATAAAATAAAATAGTTAATGTTGAGATAGCTAATAAGTGTTGATTTAAATCAGATGATTTTAATCTATGAAAATGAAAAGAGATAGGCTGTATAAACATCAATCGAACTACATCACTATATAATCAAATTGTCATTAAGTAATTGGGTCAGGTGTTGACCAGAATAAAAGAATCGGGTAAACATATTACTTCTGGACACAAAGCACCAGCTTTTTGATACAAATAGTTATTATTTCATCCGTCTAAAGAATTCTTAGTTTGACGGATTTAGGCAGACTGCTATTAACACGATATATTACTGTAAATGATTGTCACATGTTGGGTGTATGACTCGTTTGTACTAAATAAACTAAAATTGAGCTGTTAACATTCCTAACTATACCTTTGCATAATAATATTTCCAGATACACTGATATGTGAATCTAAATATTATCACCATAAATGAATATGATGACTTTAATAGTAGAAAATTGCAGATGACTTCTGGATCTCCGAATCTCATATTGAAAATTTAACCCACGAAAAGCATTCAACGTGATCAACATTTATACTCCATAGTAATCATTATATATTTTATAACAATTGTATTATATTATCAAGCAATAAGTAAAATAGTTGTTAAGAATTATTTATCACAACCAATTAAAACTATACAGGGGAAATTGTAGCACTGTTCATTTAGCTGTTAATAGACCAAATAACATTACTTACCTACTTACGCCTGTTATTCCCAATGGAGCATAGGCCGCCGACCAGCATTCTCCAATTCATTCTGTCCTGGGCCTTCCTTTCTACTTCTATCCAATTTTTGTTCATTTTTCTCATGTCTGTCTCCATTTCTCGCCGTAATGTGTTATTTGGTCTTCCTCTTCTCCTTTGGCCTTGAGGATTCCATGTGGAGGCTTGCAAATACGACATTATAGATTATTTAATATTCATAGATAATTATGACAATTCATTAATATCAACTATTCAATACAGAAATAACAATGTTACTTTCATGTAAATTGTTAAATTAAGATCAAATACATTTCATTCATAACAATGACAACAAAAAAACAATGTGTCCTGAATAATATTTTAACAAAATGTTTGTGTATGTTTTCATCGTACAATCTATTCAAAAGAAATTAATAATGAAGAGAATTTAGATTCAATTTCTGTTTTAATAATCATGAATTCTTATTGATAAAATTTCAAAGAAATTATTTTCAATAAAAATATAGAATCAACAACATATGAATGTTTCCCTTTATTTTTTTAGTAAATTCAAACTGTGTTACTCAATTAAATAAGATCTTTTGTCAATCAATATTATTTAATGGTCAATGACACAATTCCTATTATTATTTTATCATTCATCATAAGGAATATTTCATGATTAGAAAAAAATAATGATCATTATTAATTTCGATCATGTTCCTACAAAAGGTCAGTTTTAGTACTGTACTAAAGAATGAAAAAATGCAACAAATATAGTTCAATAGTTGAGATCATGAGTTAATAGGACGAAACGGCCCTCCAGTACTTCCATGTTTTCCATGGTGGTCTAGCTTCAATCAATTCATGAGCTCAACTACTGAAGTGTAGTTTAGTTGTCATGCACTCTTTAAATATATTCCATCAGTTTTAGTCTATATTGTAAAATTGTTTTGTGAATGATAGTAAATAAAATACTCTCGGAATTATTAATCAGTTCTAATGAATATTCTTCATTTTATTATCAACCTATTTATGATAACTTCCTCGATTATATTTCAAAACCTTAGTTAAAACATTGTGATATTCTTTGGCAGTTTAGATTTGTTTATTGTATTATACATCATAGGGTGAATCCAAATGGTGTCGGTTGTGTTTGTCCAGATCATAAAGTGTCGATTAGTACAAGAACAAGTGATCCGTTAAAATATATGTGTGATGGGAATTTGGGTAAGTTCGCACTATTTTTGTATAAATATCTCAAGTATTTAATCTGATCAAATAGTTGTATATATATATGACCACGTATAATAGTCAAGTGACTAGCAATCTTTTCCTAACTTATTACTACGCTAGTCTGTAAAGTGCTTGTAGTATTTATTTCCTTGAAATACATAAAACACACTCCAATCACCCTAGTTGACAAAGTAATATAACCGATTAGCTACTTCTTGACGTACAGATGAAACTACTTACTTAACCACATATCTAAACAAGAGATTTACTTATACAAGTCAAAATGATTAGAGATGGTTAGAAACAATGGATTTTGTCGGCTTAGCAAAAACAGAACTTTCTAATATAACCTCATTTCAATGGTTAAGATCATGAGTCAGTTGAAGCTAGACTACCATGGAAAACCTGGAAGCAGTGGACAGCCGTTTCGTCCAATTATGGGACTCCTCAGCAGTGCGCCTCTACGATCTCATTGGGTAGATTTAATTAAAAGTTCTTATACACTACATTTATATCGTCTAGACTTCTAGAATATCTAGGATATTTTATTTTATCATCTAACGTTTTGACTGAATCTCCATGAAAACTATTAAAATGTTTACCATAGACTATGAATAACAATGGTAAAATAAATTGATTTCATAAATAAATCCACCTTGTAGTATTTATTGAGCATTTATGCTCCTGCCTAAAGTTATCTCTTTATTTAAGTTTTCAGAAACTAATATAATGTATCGAAGAAAGTGATATTATATTTAAAACATCTTGTATTTACTTGCATCAGATATCAAGAAAGATATGAATTACATAGTTAAGCAGTTTCTTTGTGAATCTTCTAGTGAGTAATCACTTAAGAAATCAAACAGTATCGATCTTAGACCTCTGAGATTATGTGATAACTAATCAGTGAGTCAAATTTTGATGTTATACATTTCTAGCCAAAATAGATTCTATGTTAAACAAAGGATTATCTATTCCTTTACTAACTTTCTCATTACATATTTTCTTTTAATCAAGTCGATATTGGATCAGAATGTGATGATGAATCATTATTTTGTCGTTCAATAAATTCTATTTGTAAACCATTACAAGAAGAACTGTTACTCTCGACTAACCAGTTGCATAGTATCAAAAGTAACCTATGGTCAGAAAGCTTTCCTAGTGGAGATCATTTACGCAGAAGTCAAATTATACGTACATGTCAGTGTAAACCAGGATATTTACCAGTGTATCAAATTAATTTAAAGTATAATGAATGCTGTAAGTTGAAAAAAATCTGTTATTTGCTGGTTATTACAAGTGAATATTAACAGACGACCGATAAGGTTAAAAGTTAAGTTTATTCTTTATTTATTAATTAAACAATAAAATGATTAAATTGGAATGATTTTCTCTACTAATTTACATTTGATAAAAGAAACTGATCACAAATGTTTTAACCAAATAATAAGTAGTATCTAGTCTTTGTATTTAAAAATTAAAGACCGTTTACCTTCTACATAGTTAAAAGTAAGTATTAATTTTTAAATTGATTCAATCTGAAATTAATTAAGATATATAATATAATTATGTTTTACGGAAGTATAAGCAAAGATGGTTAGTGACTAGCAGTGAATAAGGGCCTTGTGAATTAAGGCAATACACACAGTATGCACACATGCCAATAAGAGACTGATCAATTGCAGTCCTAAACATCAATGGGAAGATTCAAGTAAACAATACCAAGTGAATTTATAGTATTCTATACCTTATTTAAACCATATAAACCAATACAATAAATGACTCATTTCTTTATAAATGTTTTTGTGAAACTCAGCATTACAAAATGTACCTAACAATAATATTCACAGGAAATATACATTCTTGTACCATACATACGTAGTAATGTGAAAACAACTCATAATTAAGTTTTGTTCTTTGAGCTGAACAAAACCCCATCAAAATCATTTACCTGAGCTAAAAATCATCTCCATCATCTCAAATTAATGGTTAAACGTAGAAAATTCCCCTTCAAAGATATTTTATTCCATATGCTAGTAACCAGGATAAATAATATTTTTTTACTATAAGATAGAGAATTTTAATATCTATCATTAACATCAAAGACAGAGGATGGTTTCAAATATTATTTTATTTCATGAGCAAACATTACATCTGAAAAAGAAAACATTGTCCGTAGGTACTATCGATATATTTATGATGTTTACTGTATATGATAGAAGAATGATTCCGAATCCAGTTAAGATAACTGTTGTTGTTTTTATGTGGTACCCATGGTATTGTTGCATTATTATCCACTTACATTTCGTATTATTATGTTCTTATATCTGTATCCAAAGATATTATTGATTAGGTTAGATAAATAGTTATTTTTGTCATGATTATATCTATTAGATGGAAAATTTACTGTATCAAGCTTGAAAAACTGACTTACGTAAATTGTTATTTTGAACTAAAAATAACTATTTTATATAACATTACTTTAGAAAATCCTTTGGTAGGTGATGTGAATAATGTCATAATATTTAAATGTTTATATGGATTATTTAGTAATTTCAGCTTTTTTAATATTTCTTTTTCAAACTTGGCTATACTTAGAGAGGTTTCTAGATCCTCCCATTCAGACGAAATCAATGCGATCAAGGATACTAAATACATCATATACACACCAAGTAACACAGATTACATCTTAATTCAGTTTTGAATAACAACAGCTGGATAATTCAAACTCTTCCGATTAATAGTTTCACGAAGATTCTATAGAACACGTAACCACCATGCATAACAATTGGGAAGGTTTTATGTAAAATAAAAATAAAATTTCAGTATTGTGTTTTAATTTCATCTAGTAGTTACATGACATGTATTTTAGACATATTATGCATCTATATGCCAGATACCATAAAATAATTAATGTATCACTCATTTTTCATGTTTTTAAAACTACTCATATTCTTAGAATCATGCCTTAAGCCTTACTTCTTTGATTTATAGTTAAAATACTACCAATGAAAGCTAAATATTGTCAGAAATGTGTCGATACAGGTGGTCAATGTTATGATTTAAACGATGATGGAATAGGAGATGGTTGTGATTGTCCACCTAGTCTTTCATCTATTGTCTATGGAAAAGAAAACTCAGAAATATATTGTGGAACAGTTCATGGTATGTTAATGATTAATAATCAATAGTGATAATCAGAAAATTTAGTATATCTCTGAAGTAAATGTAGCCCCATATTGAATTTTATTGTTAGATATTTAAATACTAATTAACAGATATATCAAAACAAACTACATACAAATAGATAAACATATTTTAAGAGATGATTATGTCATCATTAAATATCATAAGATATATGTTAATAATACAACGAATTCATGCGAACATATCTGAATGTACATAGTTTCATTACGTGAATATGAATGAAAAACAAAAGAAATAAGGCAAAGGCATGTAAAACTATTCCGTTTGTTTTAAATATTTAATTGCTAAAGTTTAATTTACTTCAATTAGAGTAAATTAAGCTAGTCAGTTGGCTAGGTAAATAAATCTCAATGTATTGTAGCAGGCGTTTCAAGTAACTGAGTGAAAATATTTTAATACACTCCAATTCGGTTGTGAATTTAGTATACAAGAAAGATGATTATACATAGGAATATATATAAAATATTATGCGGTGTTAAAATCAACTGATCTAAGCCAACATTTCGTTTGTAACGTGAAAATTTTCTAGATCATTTATTATATTCAGAGAGGAGTTTTGTGGTTATCATAGTAATTTAATGGTTGAACACATGAGTTAATTGAAACTAGACCACCATGGTAAACGTGAAAGAACTGGACGGCCATTTCATTCTAGTATGGGACTCCTCAGCAGTGAGCATCGACGATATTTAATCGATAACCACACCAACAGAGCAATAGTCTTCGCAAAAGAAATAGTTTTTGTAAATGAAGTTGTCATCAGGATTTTAACTTGATTACCCAATCATATTACAGTCTAATGAAAAAAATGTTTTCGTATGAACTTTTTAACCACTTTCTATATAGGAACAGTTATAAATTATATAACATTAAAAAGGATTGATATAAAAAAGAGTCACTTTACAAACATTCATTTAAATAAATACAAAACAATGTCAACCAGGAACTTTACATTAGTTGTAATTATGTTTATTTTAATTTTCCTGTTTCAGTATCTGTCAACTGTACAAATGGATATCTATCTGTGTGCTATTATCCTCATACATATGGACCGTACAGCAACTTGTTTGATGATTTGATGAATCACCGTTCTGTGGTCAGATTAGCATCCGATAATTATATGACAGATACACCACCTCTACAAATATCTGGTTTGTCCAGTGAAGACAACAAGACATATCATTATTCAAATTTGCAAAATCTTTGTACACTCAAATCAGAGAATGATACAACAGATACTGTAAACACTTTCGTAACAGAATCAATATCACATGATAATTATCATTTACATGGATCACAAACAAAAAGACTCTGTTTGAATGTTGACGTTTGGCGAAAAAATGGACTATGTGGTATTAGACTGTATAAACTCAGTGTAAGTGATTTTTTCATCTTTATAAAGGACCGTAAAATTTTGAGTATGAACCTAATAACCTAATAAATGTATGCTTTTATTATTCCTAAAAGTAAATAAATTTTAGCATGCATTGTTTAATGAAGTATATTTGGTGAAGTCATAAGAAAAATACATGAAATTCTATGAATGAGGAAGGAGGAGAGTAAGTAATCTTATTTGACTCTGGTCCTTACTTGCAAAGTGTCTTTCCGTAATCCTCTATGTTCGAATTTACAGCGTGCTCATTAGTATGAATTCCGGATGATGCTGACGATCTCAACTACTATTTGTATAGTGTTGAAGAAGGTTCCATAAGCTTCTCCTATCCATACTGTCAAATGCTTTCTCATAGTCAAGGAAGTTGACATATAGTGACGAATTTCAATCATTTGATTTTCCAACTGTGATCTGTAATATAATATTTTGGAAAAGTATACGTACAATACTCAGTTACATATTTGATTTTTATCTTAATGTTTCCAAAAAGGAATCAATTAGTCAAAAAGTTGATAAATTTAGAAATATGAATGAATGTATTAATGTTCTATCAATCAATCTCATCATAAAATATTAAACTATAGAATTAGAGAGAAACTGATATCGACTACAATTAGCCTATATGAGCAGAAATATATATAGGATATATATAGGATAAACTTAGATATTATAATGAATTTGCTAATATAAAAAGATCTTTATCGAAGTATCTTGTATTATAATAAATTGTGGTGTATCCTATTCATGTCGACGGATATAAGCAGTATGTAGCCGAAATCGGAAGTGGAAGGCCTAGCAACAGAAGATTGAATTAAAGAGAACAGAAAATAAATCGAAGAGGAATTTATACAACAACAGAAATAGAGGAGTAATGGAGTATTTATGGGACAACGCAAAGAAGATGATCAGATAATGCGTTTAATGTATGATTTTCATATTTTACTGACCCACTGTGTAATTTAACATTAAGCAATAAATTCGTTTCTGTCACCTGAATTCTCGTTTACTGCAAAATAATATAGTTGCTCACAAGTAATCGAATAGGTTAAAAATGCTTTTCAGTTATTCAGAAACAAATAATATTTGAGCAAACAGTTGTTTTAAATAACTTCGTTATTACGTTCTACAGTTATAAGTCCATAATTATTGTGTTGTTTTTTAAGGCTAAAGTAAGACATGTCAGTGAATTAAAAAATGTTATATGTTAAAAATTGTGAACTCTAGCATCTGTTATAACATGAGTTCTTTAAAATTGTGTCATTTGTAAATCAGGAAGAGCATTAAAAACAAATCAGAATGAACTGTTGTTAGGTGTCAAGTTATACTGAGTATAATAATAATCAAATAAATCGTGTATATGACATACATATTGGAAAAACTTTGTCAGAGTACGATGATGATAATAATGATGATAACAATGATAACAATTTAGAAAACATAGTATATAATAGAACAGGTGTTTTCAAGGTAGTGATAAGAAATTCATATGAATTGATAAAGATATGTACAGATTGAGAAAGAGATAAAGTGGATATAAACACTAAAGGAAGTGATGAGAGGGTGAGGGAAATATAATGTCTAGTTTATATGTACGATGATACAATCATGCACCAAGATTGTTAACCAAGGAAAAACATCATAAACGGAACTTGTATATACTAGTGTAAACAAAGTTTTTATTTTATAAGTCCATAATATTCACTACTCATGTAATTGGATGTAAGATCTTCACTCAAATGAGTGCCACTGGAATTCGGTGACTAACATTATACGCATCAAAGGATTTTTAATAATCGACAATTTTCCTTTATTCTTGTCACTGTTCGCCTGTTCTCATCCTGGTCCACTTTATAGAATTCGGTATTAATAAACGATTGACGTGAGGGGATTATTCTTTGTATTACTTCAAAGTTACAGAGATATAATACTATTTTATATATTCGTAATGAAGTGAAATAAAGAAGTTCACTACATAGCTCTAATTTGTATGATAATGTAGAAGCAACATCAAATGTAGTAAACGAGAACACAAGTGGAGACAATCAAGTGTATTGTAACACAAAATCACAAAAACATCTTAGTAAAAATCTGAGGACCATACAGTAAATACTTCATTTGCAATATATCAATCAATTGTCTCAAACTTCATTGTTCTTTCGTTTCCAAATCAATCATTCTCTGTTCTTATTCACTTCCTTTTTTTTTCTTAACCATCTGCCTCTAGGTATTTCATTGTCAATATCCATAGCATACACCACAATACTACTTTAAACTAGGCTATCATTGCCTTATAATATTAGTCGAACAATCTACTTTAAAATGTTAAGTGTCAAGTATTTCTGTTTTAAATTTTTAAAAATAAAACACAAGATCTTATTCAATGTTTATAAACTATCTAATCTGAGTTACTTTTTTTCATCTAATCTCCCATTTTGTTTTATTAATATAAACACATTTAAAAAAAGAATTATATTATTTTTTTTATTGAAATATAATCATATATTTATTTAAGAAATAAACATTAAATCAGATATAATTAACGATTTTATAAAGTGAAATTTTTATGACTTTAAAATAAAGGGTTTCATTTCATTGAATTACTACTATCACTTAAAACAGAATAAAATTGTATGAATGAACACTTCGACATAAAATCGCTTGCGCATATATATATATATATATATATATATATATATATATATATATATATATCAACGTACAAACAGACCATAAACTAACTACAATTACAGTGATAATTATAATTTATTTGTCAAATTTAAGAGTTTCTAGGTTGTTGTTTTTTTTTCTTTCAACTTTAAGATATATAGTAATAATTTATTTGACATTAATTTGTTTATAATAGAAATATTTTATACTAAGTATTGGATTTATTATCACATAAAATGTGAATTTGTCCATATAATGGTTTATAGTTAATAGGATATTGGTTACTTCTTTAAAAATGAGCACATTTTCAAGCGTTCTATATATTTTCTAGATGAAAAGTGTGTTACAGCCTCGAATGATTCCACTTTTTGTGTGTTCAATAAAACGTTTAGCGAAATACATATTTCTATCTTAATCACCTAAAATTTGATTAAAATGTAAATCGGGTTTTTTTCTTACAAAATTTATTAGGTAGCCTCTAAATAATTAGCTTGATTCTTTATCAATTAACCTATGAGATTGAATACGCTTAAATGAAACCAAGTAGAAGAACTTCAGACGAATCCAAACTGTAAGATACTATAAATATTTAGATTGTTTAATTTGAATTACTCAATAAACAATACTGCTAGGCATAGGTTATTTAAGTAACTTTTGAATAGAAGATTTACTTTCTAAAATTTCACAGGGATTAACTTTTCTATAATCTTTATAGAAATAACATATACTATAAAAATGTTAGCTTAATTATAGTCTTTTAATTGTTTCTTGATAAGAAAACAGCAGACTGTACATGACACAACTACAGAAAAGAGCAAACCTGGTAAATAGACAATATATTAGTTTTAGAAAAATACTATCGTGATGATGAACTATTAGTATATTTTTATTTGTAATGCACATAACGTGAATAGTGTGTTCATATTAAAAAATAAACTACGAAACGCTGAAATGAATTAATATAATTAAGAAGGGTTAACTAATGTACCTGATGTTCTTAAATACTGCAAACAACTAATTGTACATGAAATGAAGCTATTCAGACTATTTGAAATTCTAAAGTTTTTTTATAATTATTTATTTGAAGTGTATAATTTTTATATTAATGTTTTGACAGCACGATACCGTACAATATGAAGGAATTTTAGAAGTTCTTGTAAATACTTCAATACGTACTCCTAGCAGAGATAAAATTATTCCTCTCAAATGCATCTCTCGAATACCGAATAGGCCAATGAATAAAATTAGTGAGTAAGTAACTGGAAAATCTCTATGAAAATATTTTATCATTATTGATTTGTATTATATAAGCCACTGAATGAACATGACATGAATATAATGAAAATTATAACAAAATTTTACAAGTTTTAAGCATTTATTTACGCATTCAATCACAACTGATCTTTATCGGGTAAAGAGAAAAGACAGCTTGATTCATAAAGTTATTTGTCAAAAGAACGATTCATCTAATTTATCTAGACGCTTTATTATTGATGTTTGATTGCCTTACATAATATTGATGTATTTAAATCAGCAATCGAAAATGAGCCCTGTTAAATGGAGACTCTATTAACATCATAATTTTTGTACAATTGATTGATTACAGAGAAGTGATACATGTCATTTATGTCGATTCTCTTTTATTGCCAGTCGAATTCTATCGATCAAGTTGCAATATGACTACTAGTATAAGTGACTCGAAAGGGAGTTCACATATAAGTTGGCAGTCGGAAGTAGTCTATAGAAAACCTTCGACCTAGGTCTCATGCTATTTGGGATTGTGAAGCTACGTGGCACGAGATTGAATTCGCTGGGGAGCACCAGTTCCCACAAGATCACAAGTACATCTTGCTGGCGAGTACCAAAATGCATGAAACCTATGTCTGCGGTTTTCTGTCGACTACCTCCAGCCACTACTTTGCATAATGCCATCAGAGATGTCTTTATTTACCTTCAATTTATGTCCATCAAGTGCTGAATAATATAAATTCAAGTATTACACTAATATCAAATTTTATCTTAAATTAGTAGGGATTTGAAAATTTTTAAAGTTGTTTTGGAAAATATTTGTAATTCAAAAGTACTGTTCTTCGAGTTTTCAAATCTCCCTACTTCAAAATCTGCCCTAGAAAATCGTTAACTTTTAGCCTATCATTTTCAGTCCGTGGTTAAAAGCAGTAGTTTGATGGCTTGTTTGTATAACTTTCAGATTTGGTTTCACCTCCCTTACAACGGCCTGAGATGTCGATGAGAAATATTAACCTTTACATAAAAAAGTAATTCTAAACTAGGTTTATGATTTTGTCACTGATAAATAAATTGCATACAGTTGTGAAACTAAGCTATCACATATTAAAAGAAAATTCATGTAGAAGCGTATGAAAACTATTTCATGTAAACTTTAAGCAATCATATAACATACAATAAGCTATAGATTAGTTACAAATACCCCTATTTAACGGATGAAAGTTTATATCAACATGTCAAGAGTTTTTCTTAAATACTACAAATCTGATATTCTTGTTTGTCATGACAAAGTGGAAATTACAATAACTCTAATGACTGGTTGTTTTAAAAAGAAAATTAAGAGAACGCGAATCATATAGTTCGTCATCGTTTTTGATAATCAATAGAATTGATCCAAGTTTCAAGTAGTGCATCAATGCACTTCAGATTTCAGACACGATTTCATGATTAATGACAATTAGGGCAAAACTGAGGTTAATGTATTCAAGATATATACATTAATACACATTATAATATGATTTACTAACAGAATTATTCTATTCGTTATTGGATTGTATACACTATTCGTTATCAAATATATATATCATCAAAAATACATAAAGTCTTTAAATAAAGCATTTAGTAATTTCTTTCGAAGTCAGTATTCTGAGTTATTAATCCAGTGTAGTTCATTAAAATACAGATAAACATTAGCCGAAAAGTACAGAAGTACTTATACTTTACGTAGTTGTATCATTTTGCAACTCAATGATTTATCTCTTTTCAAATACACACATTTATAATTCAAATTTATCCTTTAATTCTTATTAGTTTAAAATGATACGTTTATTCACTTCATTTGTAATATTATATAATATTCAAAATAAACCTTTTACATTTATGTTACTTTTATTTACTCCCATACAGTGGGAATCTGCAAACAATTGGTACTATGAATCTAGAAAACACACCAACTCATCCTCAAATAAGTTTGCGTATATTGAATGAAAAAAATAAAGAAATTCTGTCAGCTTTTGTCGGTTCACGTATACGCTTGGATGCCTTACTACTTAATCCCTCAGGCAAGTGTTATGAGACATATGTTTTCTTTTATATTTAATTACCTATAATTAAATCATTATCTAAAGTGTAGGTCAAACAGAATTGATGAATTAGTCAGTCAGACTATATTTTGATAAACGAAAAATGTATATCCGTCTTTTACTGAAATTTTTGTTTAAGAATATAAACTGAGTAATTTTATATTTATTGAAATATTGTCAACTGTTTTGGTTGTTTTGCTAGTCATTTTCACAGATCAATTTTATTTGAAGAGTCATAGAAAGCCACAATGACCTAAACAACTATTTCATCTTAGTTTGGAGACTTCTAATGGGACATAATCATGACAACCAAAACCTCCTTCTATTCTTGACAACCGGATCTCATTGTGAACACAGTTGAGTTGTTAGTTGATACTTCATACATAAAACTCATGTTGATCTCCCACTTAACGAAACTTCGATATAACACGAGCGGTGATACCCCGCCTCATTTACAAACCAACGAACAGTATTATTCGGTGTACTTCTGACTTATATATATTTTTGAAATTCGCATTAATGTATTGATGTATTGAGTCGCATCGATGTATTAAACCAGATCCTTAGTTCTGTTTAAACGTATTAAACTTTAAAATTCTGTTTTTGTTTAAATGACATCAGATGTTTTAAAAATATATTTGATAGCAGCAAACATTTTATATGTAAACGATTAAAATCTAAATAATTCTAACATTTCGCCTGGCAAACGTCTTTAGGCATACAGTTAACTAATCATAATTTACTTTGCTTTTAAATGACAGTTGATGATAAAACTTGTATTCAAGAGTTAGAGTAAGTATTTGTTGTAGATTTAAATTTATCGCTTCTTCAAGGGGGTTGATTATAACAAAAAGATCGTACACTTTTAATGGGGAAAATTTTGATCTGTTGAGATTATTCAGATGTATTTCCTATTTATTTGTATATGATGACTTTTAAATACTTGGCGCCTAATTTCTGTTCAATTATTCATTTAGATTTTGATAAATGTTCATGTAATGAATATTTCGATTTGATTTTTGACTAAAATCATAAATGATTCAGTCGATAGATAGAAAAATTCAAATTAAAAATAAACAGTACATTAAATCATATGAATTCACTTCAATAAATATTAGAAATTTTCTTTGACATTTATTTGTTGCATATTCTACGCGCTTGTTTAATTATTTTACGAAGTATGAATGATTATCATAGACTACATTGTAGTTATACTTTGATTAAATTCATAACATTAACTGACTTACATTTTCAACTAGTCAAACAACGTACATCGTTTCCTTTACCTTTTATTTCAAAAATAGGTCTGAAATATTTATTTTCATTACCAACTCTCTATATACTATTCTTTCAATAATTTAAACGTAAATAAACAATTTAACGTCTATTAAAGCAAGATTACATTAGTATTTCAGATAGAATGAATTTCGTGTCATTATTAGGAGTAGCATAAATAATAACAATATAAATATCATATCAATTTGAACATTGTTAGGTATCTAGATTCAGTCACTTACTGTATGGGACATTCAACATTTGAAATGAAAAATACTAAAGTTAAATACCTGTATAAAAATCAATATTAAGATGTAGGTACATCTAGTTGAAGATTTCATTATTAACTACAATCCATCTATTCTATGAAATAAATTAATTTCACTTGTAATAAATTCTAAGCTACGTTGTCATTCTAAATGATCATTTAAAGAATAAAAGATTTTCATTTCATTTTAACATTGAGTTACTATGCTTCAATAAGTAATAATAATAATAATTTAATAAGAGGGTTTAACAAAAGTGTCATAAACAATCTCCACTTAATATTGTTTTTTTCTTCATAATTAATACTTTAACAGAAATAATTAAAGTATGAACTACAGAATTGACAACATAATTTGACAAAGAAAAATAATTTTTTAAAATGAAATATGATATCAAATTCTTTATATTTTTCTTTATTTAATTATTATTCAAGGATCATATAAACATATTGCTGCTGAATATTGTTATGGTAACAATCGATCTCTACATTCTGATTATTTCTCAAGTGATATAGGCACTTTGCTTATTGATCACAGGTAATCATCTTATTTTAATTTTTTTTAGATTCATACTGTATGATTATGATAAACAATTACTGTATTTGATTGTATTTAATAAATTGTGTGTTATGCTGATTTATTATCGAATGGTAATCAAACCAGTATTATATTTAATCTTTAATGATTATTGAAATGTAAGGGAAGAGATGTTTAGGGCATTGTTTTAATGTGAGATGGTTATAAGCAACAGAATATCAGTTAAAATCTCGATTTCGCTTTAGCTGACAGTTCTGTAGAGTCTATCTAAAACACTGAGAAATTCAATACTCATTGAGAATGAGCCGTGTTCCAATTAGGTTCATGGTAATGTTTTGGAATATAAAATTAGGTCATGAGAGAATAAGTAGGATGAACCCTTAGATTATACTATCCAATGTCGTTCTCCCAACAACATCTATTTCATAGACTAAATTTAAATTTTTTGTGTGTAAATATTTATTCACTCACTTTTTAGGCCTTGTCTTTTAGAAAAACGTCTAAATGATTCACAAGTTATTGTGAAGCAAAATTCATTTCTTGGTTTGTACAAAATCTTGCTAAATTCGGAATACTGTTGAAATCGTTCACGGGATGATATATAACCCACAGCAAATATTTAATATCGTCTTTTTAAATACGCTAGATTATTTACAATAAAAGTATGTTATGGTAACTTAAACCAATTAAGCTCTGAATGAATCGTAACAATTAGAAAAGTAGATTTTCAGAAAGAAGAATCTTTTCATACTTCTGATAATTTATTGGGACGTTTATTTTTCTGCATATATTAATCATCGATTATTTTATATATTCAGCTTGTCAGCAGTCTAAATGCTTCACTGTATACTGCTTAATGGGCTGAGTTAATATGTTTCTATATTAAAGTGTTTTAAGACAGAGAAAAAATAATTCAGAATATGAAGTTCCGCATAAAATCTGTAACTGTTAACACCCACTAAGCTAAAATAAACCAAACTAATACAATGTAACTATGATAACATATACCTACATTGCTGATGCCGAATTATTAAGAATACTGAACTAAATCCCTGCATTGAGAAAGTTGCTTTACTTTACCTATGATCCAATTCACAGTAAGCATTTAATACCTAACACCATAAGTACAGAGAGAAGTTGATAGTAACTCGTTTCTCAACAATATAATTGAATTGAGGTTAGCTGCTGATACATACGTTAAATGTAACTAAGTATCAGAAAAAATTAACAGGAATCCACTGTTTACCGTGAGTTAGTGCTTACTGATTTCATTTGTACCCACTTACATTATGAGCTCATGTGTGTGCCCTAAATGATTTGAAGCAATATTCTAGGAATCTCACTTCATTTTTATTTATAGCTCATTGAATAAATCTGCCAGCAGGTCACGTTTTAAATAGATGTTAGTCTTCTTAAAATGTCGCTGATAAGTAATAATCAAAAGTGAGCTCAAAAATGTAGGGTTTTATAGGTTATGTTTAAAACTTATCTTCATATATGATACTGTATGATCTCAAATACTCAAAATATATTCGTTAGTTTAATAATCGATTACTGCATGTATTATTCTATGCTCATTAGTAGAGCTGTTAAATCACAGTTATCTACGACATATTGACAATATAAGCCTAACCACTAAGAATTAACCGGTATTTAAAATGACTTATTTCGATTCATGATTGAACATATAGTTCAATTCGATTGAGTTAAATTCTGTAAACGTTCAAGAACAAGCGTGCTGTAGAATAATATAGTACAAACAGATATATCACAATAAAACCAAATAATTTACAATGTTTTACAACACTCATATTTTAGATGCTTACATAAGAAACCGTTATTAACTGCCAAATTTTCAAGTATTGGTTTATTGAATGGGCATTTGCAAACAGAAATATTTCAAGCTTTTCGGTTGGGTAATATGACTTTAGTATTTTTTACTTGTGTATTCAGAATATGTCAATTACCTACAGACTGTGAACAGGTATGTCTTATTTCGTTATTTTTCTGCAAATATGCAAGTGCATTTTTCAAGTTTATTATTATCATTTCGTTAATAAATTTATATGCTATTTGGTTTGAATTTCACAATGACGTTATCATAACAAATGTGCTCCGTTCATATTTTTTTTGGTAAGACGTGACATACAAACATACTACTATACATTACAATGCAACGATTATTATGCATAGTAGACTGACTTCACACTGTTTGTACCATAGAACGAACTGTTATTAAATAAAAATGCATTAAGTAATTGGACATTTTTCATTACATAATTAATTTCTGAATGATATTTAAAGATGAATTAATTTTATATAAAATGTTCGATACTTATATAATATCAGATGGGTGTTGTGGAGTTTATAGTAATTTCAATGGTTAGGATCATGAGTCAGTTGAAGCTAGACCAACATGGAAAACCTGGAAGCACTTGACGGCCGTTTCGTCCTATTGTGGGACTCCTCAGCAGTGCGTATGCACGCGAAATCGAACGACACATCCACCACTGTCTTCAATGAGTTACTATCTCACAATGGTGGATGTGACCCTCAATTTCGTCGATTATTTGAAGTTAGACATTAACACCGCTCAGTGGTCTAGTGGTTAAATGCTCGCGCGCGAGACTAATAAATCCTGGGTTCGAGTCTCTCAGGGAGCAAGGTCGTGGATGCGCATTGCTGAGGATTCCCACAACAGAACGAAACGGCCGTCAAGTGCTTCCAGGTTTTCCATGTTGGTCTAGCTTCAACTGACTCATGATCCTAACCATTGAAATTATTATAATATCCACAAAACCCATCTGAAATTATAAAATAGTCCGTGGTTCTACTAAAAACACATTTTGATAGAACTATATATTCTCCCTAATGGTCTAGCTTCTAACTATTTGAAAAAAATTCTATTATCTCTATTAAACCTAAATTGTATATTTGTATAGTCCTGTAAGTTTTCTTCTAATTTATAAGTTAGTGTAAGACATTTCTTAGTTATGATGAATTACAAAAAGATAAGTTAGTTTTTTAGCTTATAAACTTAATAACAAAATAATAAATAATACTGATTCTATTTCTTTTTTAATTTATAGTCTAGTTAGACCTTTGTATAAACAATGTATCAAAATTGTTACAATTGAAAGGAACATTTCTTTTTAGAAAAAAATGTTTGTTTAAAACAAAGATTACTTTTGTATATTAAAGAAATTAATGTTCTGGAAACAGTTATTGTTTATTTGTTTTTTTTGGGTTTTTAAAATTTTTAAATAATCCGTTGGATACAAAAAAACTCATCTTCAAATTGAATATATTTTACCATCGAATAAAATTCAATTGACGATTAATTTGAATTAAGAAAGAACAACAAAATGAGTTGTTTTTCTAAATTTTCCTTTTTTCGACATTAAGCTACCACAATCCTTTTTATTTCAGACAATCAATCTATTTGAATAAAATTAACAATGAATTTTATTTTATTTTTCTGTGGCACAAAAAATTATAAACAGTTTTTGTATACATGTATAGACATGTCTGTTATAAAATAAGATTACATTATTAGAAAGCAATGTTAATATGGTTGAAATCATGAGTCAATTAAAGCGAGACTGCCTTAAAATTCCTGGAAGCACTGGACGGTCGTTTCGCTCTAGTTTGAGACTCCTCAGCAGTAGACATCCACGATCCCGCCCCCCGCAGTATTCGAATCCAGGACTTATCAGTCTCGCGCGTGAGCGCATAACCATTAGACCACTGAGCCGGCGTCCAACGGTGTTAATGTCTAACTCCAACCAATCAATTGACTCATGATATAAATTATTGAAATTACTGAAATTTCCACAAAACCCCTTCTGATAATAACGTGAATATGATAATTGTCACATTTGATTATTCAATAGTGTTTTTTTGAAATATAACTAGTGAAGTGGAATGAAGTAAATTGTAGTTGGATTTCTCGAAGTAAAAATATTAGGAATATTGTCATTAATGATCTCATTCAACCAATCTAATAATAGGTATCGCCAAATAAATCAAATAAATATATGGTCAAGTGAATTTGTCTTGTCAAGCAGGATAATTGTCTTGGTATTTAAATAGTTTACGGATCATACACTCTTTTCAGATAAAGTCATAATTATACTAGTTCTTACCTATATTCAGAAACGGTGTTTAATAAACAATTATAATTTAGTAAAATTTACTATTTGGGTAAATTCTAACATAAAGTTTTACTATTTCAAAATCCGTCCCTTGAAATAAGATGTTCATAACAACCATAATGAAATTATAATTGCTTTTTCTATATAAATCTGGTATACAATAAACGAATATATTAAAATGATTTAAATCAAATCCGATCATTAGAGTGAACAACAAGTCATTTAATCTTAAAAGGTCAACTCTCACTCATTATCAAATGAAGTAACCTTTCATTTTATCATAGATTTACATCCTAAATGTTTAAAAATTAAATAGTTTATTAGTGTGAAATCAAATAAAGAATATTGATTTTCTTATCGATCTTTAATTATCAATATTTTGGATTGCGGTTCAGTGGTCTAGAGGTTAAGCGTTTGTGCATGAAACCGAAGGTTCAGGGTTCGAATCTCGCGTGTGGGATCGTTAACGCGCATTACTGAGGTGTCCCATACTAGGATGAAATGGCCATCCGATGCTACCAGGTTTTCCAGGGTGATTTAGCTTCAATCGAGTCATGAATTCAACCATTAAATCAAGCAGATGAAAAATCTTTTTCAAAGAATATTGTTTTAGTTAAAAAGTTTTAAAATAATCTACATTTTCTGATTCAATTAAATATGAAAACAAATAACGAAGTTTTAATAAGATAAAAAAATTATGGATTTAAGTTTATTTAAGTAGAAGTACATGAAATTTCTGTTTAATTTTTTTATGTCTAAAACCCATCAACATGACATTTTAGAGTATTATGCATTATATCAAAATGTGTTTCTATTTTTTTTCCTTAACGGTTAGTACAATTGATTTCGGTGGATATTTGGAGTCGCATTGTAATTTAAATGAAATTAACCTTTTTTTGAATAAAAACTCATTTGATGATTAAATTTTATGAACCAGGTTATGATTTACATTGTGTGGTAGCTAAAAATATTACATTGTCTACTCAAAGTTCAAGTAATTTATATTGTGATCATATATTAATTGATCAGAATTAGTTTAACCAAATATATTTTTCTAAGATGAACATATAGTAGATCATTTCAGTAAAAAGCCATTGCAAAAGAGAATTATAAAATCGATTAGTTTAATGATTTAAAAAATGAAGAATCATTAGATGATAGCAACGCATTGGGTTTTTCACGAAATATAATTTCACTTGAACATTTACAAGTAAATCAAAGTATCCACTGTATTTTTTTTACATGAGATCTTAATCTATAACTCTGTAAGCCAATTTACATTTTTAATCCCTTCTGCATTTATAATCATAAATTAGAATATATTCTACTTAAAACAAGATACAATTTCAATTCTAACATGCAAAAGCCATACTAAATCGGAAAATAAAATCTCTACATATTTCTATGCTAGGTAGAAATATTAAATAAAGCATATGTTATATCTCGAAATGACTGATAGAAGGTAGAATCTACACCACTGGCGTGAATTCTGTAATTATTATTTTTTCAGAATATAAATTATTATTATTATAACTCGAAAAAATAAATTTTATCCTGATAGCTGAATTTTGTAGTTTCGATTTCATACAAAATGGACTCGTTGATCGCTTAGTCACAAACGGAACATTTGTCTCGTCCAGGTATTTGATATCTCAACAGTGCAGATACATGACCCCATCAGAGGTCGGACCGAAGATCTTCAGGTCTTGTAAGGAGCGCTTAGTGGTTTGAATGTTAAATAGGCAATATTGTAACTTAATTGAAGTTAAACACATAAATAGTTAGAAGACAGATCAGTTATTCATTAGCTAAGCACTCGTTATGAGGTCATCGGTCGGATCTCTGTGTTGTTGTAGATGTGGACTATTGACGAATGCTACCCTAAAACGGGATAGCTGTCAAGTGGTGATTATCTAAACGGTAATCAAATTAATAAAGACGTATTACTCAGCAAAGGTGGTTATCAAGGAAAGAACAAGGTTCATGCTTCATCGAAAACCTAAAAGGCATGCAAACGATTGAGTTACACCCCAATTCAAATGTAAGTATGGTCACACATACATAGGGAGGAGTAATCGTGATCACAAAATTAGTGTGTGTGAACATATACCTTAATGGCTGCAAAAAAAAGTAGAACCAAATGACCCAATAAGAGTAGAGGATAAACATCCTTCATCTCCATTGCCAAACACATAACTGAAGCAGGTTATAAAATTGATCTTAACTCGGCTTCTACGGTGTTGTACAAAAGTGTAAAAAAGCGTATACTAAGGTTTATTGAAGCCATGTCCATATGAAAATTCAAACCCCTTTACTGCATTTCAAAACAGTTTGTTCTCACCTTAAACTTACCCTGGTAATATTAGCTTATTATCCAGAGTGATGATGTTTCAAATTGTTTATATTCTTTATTATCCTTGTTTTCTCTTACTCTTCATTTCTAGTCTAGTTGACCATATATATATATATATATATAAAATGTTTTTAACAAGTATATGTGTGATCAGATTGTTCGAAATGTATGTACCAATATGTCACACAGTTCTGATAATCTTCACCTTATCACACTATCGAAATAATATTACTAGGACATAAAATACCCTCAAAATTTGTTTTTGTTTTCATAAGATTCTAATTAACATGAGTTATCCTCAGGTTTGTCTAAATGTGTTGACTCTACAATAGGAATTTTGAGAAAACTTTATTGAAAAAAACTTTCTTTAAACTAGTGATCAATATATGCAATTTCTCAGTATAATAAAAATAAACATTTATACTGAACTAAATAATGATAGTTTACCTAATGAATAGAAAATTTGAAAGAAACTACAATTAAATAATCCATCTACCGCCATCATTTATTACTAGAGTATTTGGTAATATACATGAAATAAATATGGTTTTAGAAATCCTAAAGAATATTAAATTTGTTATGGGAATAGGTAGATTTTATGTGCAATGTTTTCACAGTAGACAAGAAGTTATAATATTTTTACTATATCCCAAGTTATACCATACTGCATAATATGTTGTCAAATTCTGTAATTACGTAGATATAAATTTTTCTAAACTTTTAGCTTAGTAAAATTGTATTTATCTTTTTTGTTTTCAGTAGAAAATATTATCCTTACGACAGAACAATGTGTAGTAGTAATTCATTGTTGGCTAGCAGTGAAATTCAGGACACGCTTTTCGAACTATTTGGGACTCCTCAGCTGGATATACCTGCATCTCAGTGAACACTAAGGTACATTAAGGTACATTCAGCTGATGAGTCTCGAATAGAGTCTTCACAGGATGCACATTTGCCAATAAGAGACTGATGAATTGAAATTCTGAATAACAATCGGAAGATACAAATAAACAACATCAAGTGAATATCTAGACTTACATGTGTTAGAAACATTTGAATTAAAAATTATTATCTAAATAGTATAAAATGTGTTTTACTTTAATCAACTGAACGATTAACTAATCTCAGTCGTTTAGAGAATAACTTGTGAATTTTTTAAGTAATAATCCTAATCTGATACTTATAATCTTTACAACAATCAGTATTTTTAAACTGATCTAATCTCTTATGACTGGTAAATTTCTAATCATACATTTGTCTAGTTTTTGTTCAGCAAATACAACATGAACATTTATAATCAGAGAGGGGTTTGGTGAAGATTGTAGTAATTTAATAATTGAATTCATGCGTCCATTGAAGCTTTATTTATTATTTATTTATTTATTTGAACAAATAATTATTGGTACAAGGGGGCACCAAATTTATATGCACCACACAAAACAATGAGAATTTAAAGAGAAGGGAAAAAATGTAAGGAGCGTAGGGAATAAAAAACACAAGAGAACAATAACGACTAGATTATTGTGAGGTAGTGTAATAGTAGTAATAATGGGGGAAACGAAAAGGTACAATGAGAAGAAATCTTTCAGTTAAGGAAGAAACAACCACTCTTTACGATGAAAGTAAAAGAAGGTTACAGCAGGATCGCCATTGGCTTCTGTTCTGAACCATATCTGATAACGTTTCTAGCCACTGTGTAACACCATCTCTCGGACCCCAGCCACGGAGTCGTGAAGGACCAACCGAAGCCAGCCCTTTGCAGCTTTCTTTCATACCACGACACCTTGTCATACACTGACCACCTCTCCACGTTTTCCAACCAGTCCCAGAGTCGGCAAATAATGCACGACGAGTAATTCTCTAGGACGACATTCGTGACACCAATTGCATTATCGTCTCCGTGCCCGAACACACGATGCCGAACCTCTGCATTACTAACATGGTGTTGCCACTGGATGTCAGCAATCCTTCGGAGACAGCGATGATCGAACACAGAGAGTCGTCTAACATCCTCAGCTCGGAGAGGCCAGGTTTCACAAGCATAGAGCAAAACTGCTCTCACCGACGCGTTGTAGATCCGACCTTTTACAGCCAGACTAACATCACGAAGGCGCCAAAGATGGCCCAGATTGGCATAAGCCGCTCTGGCTTTCACTATACGTGCATTGATCTCATCAATCACGCCACCACCAGCACTTATGCAGCTACCCAGATACACGAACTTCTCGACTACTTCAATCTGCTCACTATCCAGGGTGAGTACAGGATTAGAATCCTGCCAGTCTTGTAGAAGTACTTTGCACTTCGAAGGTGCAAAGCACATACCATACCTACGGACACTGATTGCCAACTGATTAAGTGCGGATTGCATGGCTTGGGCATTCTCGCACAGTAAGACAATATCATCCGCATACTCAAGGTCGAGAAGTCTTTCTCCAGGCAACAGATCCACACCGCCACTACTTACATCCATCAGAGCTGTTTCCAGAATGTCATCGATGGTAAAGTTGAAGAGGAATGGTGAGGTTGGGCAACCTTGCCTAACTCCACTGCTCGAATGGAATAATGGAGAAAGGTGGTTGTATGCCCTCACTCTGCCTGAGGTGTTTGTGTATAGGGATTGTAGGATGTTAATAAACTTCTCAGGCACACCTCTCTTCAGAAGACAATCCCAGAGAACATTCCTATTCAACAAATCAAAGACAGTCCTGATGTAAAGAAACATGATTGTTGGCCTTTGATAAGTATGACGGTGTTATAACATTTGGCGGAGGGTGAAGATATGATCAATACATCTTCGACCGGAACGAAACCCAGCCTGCTCCTCGCGAGTTAATCTTTCTCGGGTTTTGAACAACCTACGAAGTATGACGGAAGCCAATAGTTTGGACGCATTCGGAAGTAGACTTATCACAATTGATTGATTACTGGGCGGTGACCAATGTCATGTGTGTCTAGTCCTAGATTTATCCAACGAAAGTTGTTACAGGAACGACGTGAACCCTTTTTAAAGATAGGGACAACTATCGACTCATTCCATGAAGTTGGTACACACTCTAGTTCCCAGACCCTTGTAAACAACGTCGTCAGTTCCTTAGCCAGAATGTCACCACCATCTTTAAAAAGAGCCGGAGGTAAGTCGTCTGGGTCCGGTGATTCGTAGCGGTGGATCAGTCATCACGGGCCATGGAGGGCAGGACAGTCTGACCGATGTTGCTGGAGCAGCAGGCCAGTTGAACTGCCCTTCGAAAAATTTTGCCCATCGTCCAAGACGTCGATGGATGTCAGTGATTGACATCCCGTCATCCTCTCAGATTGTTTCGCTCACACCAGACTTCTTCCTGCCAGTGGCTCGGATGAGTTGGAAGAGCTTCCGGTAATTACCAGATGCAGCTGCTGCTTCCCATTGAAGCAGATAGTAAATTACTGAAGACAATGGTTGATGTGTCCCTCAATTTCGTGAATTCGTTGAAGTTAGACATTAACACCGTTGGATGCCAGCTCAGTGGTCTAGAGGTTAAGTGTTCGCGCGCGAGTTTGATAGGTCCTGGGTTCGAGTCTTGCGGGGCGGGTTCGTTGATGCGTACTGCTGAGGAGTCCCATACTAGAACCAAACGGCCGTCCAGGGCTTCCAGGTTTTCCATGGCGATCTAGCTTCAATTGACGCATGAATTCATTCACTAAATAAACATTTATGCATAAATAGTTCACTCTTAAAATATAAGACCTAAAACAACGTTTTCCATTGTTACAGAGTTTTAATTGCATTAAAAGAAATATGTAAATTAGTCATCTTTTTAATCATCAAATTCTCAATCATAGATCAAAATTATAGATCCAAGTTATTTTCGATAAAGAATAATTGGGTTTATGGTGAATACAATATACATTTGCAATTAGTAAAAAATTAAGTTGAAATCATTGATTCCAGACTCGATTAAACTAGATTAAGATTAAAAATACATTTTGATGATGCAGATTAGGAACAATAATCATATTGTTATTTGTTATCAAATTAGAAATTAACTAAAAGATCTAAGCTGGCTAAGTGGTTGTTAAGTGGAGTGAGTTTTCAGTAAATATTCTAATTTTATAGGAACACTTTTACTGCTAATCATGGAATCAGACTAATTTAAGGTATAAAAGTACAATGGTGGATAATTGATGAAATTTGTGACTTATTAGGTCTTAGGCTGAACAAAGGAAAACAAAAGGGTTGAGCATAAGTTTTCACTCACTGCCATGATGTTTTAATTTCGATAGTTAATGATTTCATCTATAAATAGATATATCAACAGAAGTGGGTGCTTGTAGACTAAGCTCTAACTGAGTAACATTTTAAATTTTCACTTACATTACAAAAAAATTAAAACAGTTTTATACGAATGGGGTTTATATAAATAGATCCAACTTATTGTTGCTGTATTTTGACACTTTAGACAAAGTGTAAAAGAGATGATGGAGTACAAAAAATTCAATCAACCGAAATAAATGAAAAAGACAATATCATTCCATTTCTAAGTCAAATTATAAATAATAATTCAAAGAATAACTACATACATAATATCTACAAAGGCGACAGTTACTTTTTCCGTGTTCAAACATACGCTCATATTGAAGTAAATGAAAGACATCCTAAACGTGAGTTATTCATTTTTTTCAAAATTGTTTTTCATAATTTTTTTGTTTTTGATCACTAAGAAAATCAATTTGTGTATTAAAAAGACAGAAATCTTAGTAACTTTCACGATTCACTGATTAAAAATTAGATATTGACCTGATAATAAATTGACTAAATATAATACTGATAAGATCCTTAATATACCGTTTAACTATTTCAAATAAGGTTTAAGAAAAAATAAGATTCTTTCTTGAACTCATTAAATTGAAGTTATGTTATACTGTATATGATAACATATACACTAGAAAAAATATTTTTCAAAAAGGTAACAATCAAATCTAAGAAGTTGATAATTGTGGATTTCTTGTTGCGTCTAGTACTAAGGTCATCACATGACCACTCCTTTTTGTTACAGATGTTTAAGTTTTATTAATAAAAGCAAACGAGATTTCTCTAGTTTCTGATTGATTTGCCTTTATTTTATTTGACTGATTTTTCATGTGCACCAAGGTCATGACTCTTACTATTTTTTTCTTTTTCAAGCTATCTTGCTTGAATATTAGATTTTCCTTATACTGGTTATTCTTTCTGTATTATTGGCTAATTGTTGAGGTGCGTTGTACCATCTGTCGTTATTGAGTTTGCAAAAGGACAACCCAATCGTTCTTTAATTTACAAGCATCGTAGAAAAACCCAATACACAATCATTTTTACCAAGATTAAATGTCTAGATAACGTGTTACTTGAAGGAGAATGGATGGCAAGACTATATTTACAAGTCTATAAGCTCAAAAATGGTGCGGAGGAATTGTTTTTACCTTGATAACTTTAACTGAAAGTTTTGTTTCTCATAAACATATAATATCTGGATGTAGTCATGGTAGGATTTATCACATCTTTTCAATTAACTCACGACCTATGTTATGATTTATTTGAAATGGCTTTAATTTTCTTCATGTTTCTGTTTGAATTCGTAACTAGTAAAGTTCAATCCTTTTGAAAGTGAGAAAATTATCCGCCTATGTCATTTAATGAACTACTTAAATTTGTAAATAAAGACAACTAGTTCCATAGATGTTTGTTCAGAGATACTGTGGTCGTTGCTAGATATAAAAATTCTAGGTTTGATCTCGCGTATACCGTTATAAAATACCGGCTGATATCAGTTTGTGAAGAAAACCATTTTTTTAAATTACCCAGTTCAATAGAAAATATCTACATCAGTAAGCATTGAACACCAAGTAGTTTGAAAAATATATAAAAACAAAAACTCTCAAATAAAAAAGATACAATCACATGAATTTTAGTTTACCAAATTAATAATAAATTATATCACTTTTACTTTTGAAACAAGGATAACAAAACATAAATATATCTCTAAATTATCTTAGAAAAACTGATGCAAAAAGATGATGTTTTTAAGGAAAGACAATAAAATACTTATATATCTTGGCAATGTGAAATAATAACTTTAGGAATTTATATGCATGTAATCACAATAATTAACAGGAAACAATTCAAATTCTATGTATGAGCATTTGTGTTAAGATGTTGCTTAATGTTACATTAATCTTACTTAATAGAATTTATTATTGATTAAATATATTTCATTTATTTTAATTATAAACTGATATACATATATTTGTTTATCTATGCAGGATGATGTTTGTTGATAAAGATGATAAAGCCATGTACTCATTACTAATGATAAAATTTCTAAAACAATAAAAATTCACTCAATTTACACCGAAAACAGTTTTGATGAATTTTATTAAGACATTTTAACTGACATATTATTCTGACATCATTTATGTTGAACTTACTTACAAATAAGGTTTATTTTCGTTAAAGTTTACATGGTATATTAGTGTATCGATGGTCACTGTCAGTATATCCACATATCACAAAAGGTTTTTAGAGTACGTTGAGTTAGGCGTTTGTGAGTCAACTCGATTACTTTGGTTATTTGAATTCTTCTATTAACGTTATGAAGTGCAATTAACCAATCATTTTTGGCATATGTTCATTCTGTGTGAATCACGTCGATATTGTCATTGAGTCATAAGGATTATGAGCGGAGTTCGATGTTGCCTGATGGTGTTTGAAGCGAGCGGTATTGGGTTCAAATTCAGGAATCCATATTAAATTTGAGGTGGAGTTATATGTAGCTGACGTGTCACAAATAGGACAAAACGTGTATCTTGGATTCCACTGCTAGTCGCCATTGAACTCTAATTATTTATGTATCAGCGTCCGATGAGTCAGTATCCGAAATCTTCAGCGTGTACAAGAAAACAATAGTATTTTTGATATATCCTTACTGGGCTTTACTTTAATGTATGATAATACCCATATGGATAAATAATAAATACTATACCAATCAAGGTAGTTAATGGGTCGATGATGGCAACCAAATAGACTTCATAAATAAACATATCTAGCAAAATGTGCCAGTCGCTTTTGACGTCGTAAGTGTTCGATTAATAAGACCGATAATGACTTGAATCAATGTTTCAACGCAGAAAGTACGTGAAATCTGGAAGATAGTAGAAAATAAATAACCAGCATTAAAAGTTATTAAAATTACTTAATCAAGAGCTCAAATAATTGGATAGTTAAAAGCATATACGAAAAAGGAAAAAAAGAAAACAAATGGACAAATGATTTGTAAAATAATAGTTATGAAAGAATTAAGTCTTATGTGGCCAAGGAAACGGCAGTGTAACATATTTCTCCTGAATACGTAAACTAAGATCATTCACATCAGTTTACCTCTTCAGTATGTATCTACAAACTTAGTTGCTCCTGAGGCGACAACTATATTGAATCTACTACCAGGTAACAACCAACGAATGAGTGAATATTATAAAATCAAGTTTAATATTGTACCAATCTGTTCAAAGAAGCATTAGTATATTCTAGAGGATTTTTAAATGTAAATTAAAGATATAACATTGTTACGATTGACAAACAAGAAACCTCAGATCTACCTAAAATATTGGGAGTTTACTTTACTAGTATTTTTAAAGGAGGATAAAATTCTCCCTTTTTTGAAACGTTAAACATATAGTAGTGTGGTTTATGCTACTCATGTCGACATAAGTAGTACATAACATCCATCAGAAGTGGAGTGCCTGGCAGCAGAAGGTTGGAAAAATTTGAACAAAGAAGACTCGAACAGATCAATTGTTATGGTAATCATAGAACGATGATGTTCGAGACAATTGATGGAGGATTTTCAAATGAAGTATTGAACATATGGCTTTCACATTTGACAAAAGAACTTTGTAATTTTGTATTAAAATACAATTGGTTGTTTCCACCTATGTTCTTGAAAAATATGTTAATCAGGACTTAGAATTTCTATAAGTAATTTAGTTTTGTTCTTCACAACTTAAAATATCTCTATGGTTCAACTGAATAGTCGACCCAATAACATAACTGATTGTTTCTATAGTTTATGCAAATATACAATTACGAATTACACTTCATCTTATCAAATATGAAATTTTTTTACAGTCATTACAAAACCCTAAGCTTTTACGATATCTATATTTAGTAAAGGTAAATAAGTAGTTGTAATGTCTAATGCTTAATTCTTATCCATTTTCAGCTCAACGATTTTTGTTTCTTTTTCTCTTAAACTTAACAATTAATTATAGTAACATATAGTACTAATAACGATGGATTAAATCCAAATTATTTAATATCAAATCATCAATTAGATATGAAAGCCACTTCATCGTTACAATCAACACGTGATCGATCATTATGTAATTATGCTTTATGTTTAACAACAATTCATTTAAGTTGGATATTACTTGGATTATTTATATTACTTATTTTATTCTGTATCACTTTAATATTAATTTATCGTAAATATCGATTGTTTTTACAAAGAAGAACATTGAATCTTTTTGGAAAACATCAACAACAAAATCAATCTATAAAAAAATCATTATCAATTTTAGCAAAAAATGATTATAGTGAACATTCAAGTCCATCAAGAATATATAATAAAGAATATTATCAATCTAATTATTTATTAAATCCAGATTTACCATTTAATTCAGCATTAATAACTACAGATAATTTAGACATGAAATCATCTTTTCAATTAAATCCATTAACACCTCCATCGATTACATCATCAACTTCAATTCAGTCTGTATTATCACTACCTCCATTATTAGCTACATGTACAGTTGGATCGTTAAATCATTTAGATGGGAAGTTAAATATCTGTGAACCAACTTATTCTACAAATAATAATAATCATATGACATTAATTTTAAAAAATTCTAATACATCGAAACATGAAACATTGCACTGTGATAAATCAGATATATTTTGTCACACAATAACTTCAACAAATTTAGATCATTCTAAAACATTACATTCTACATCAATGTTACCGACAACAATTACACAAAATTGTTATTGTCAAAGTATGAATTATTCCAATTATCCATTATCATTTATACAACATAATTATGTAAATAATGATGAATATTTAAAGACAATATCATCAGATGATTGTTTTATGAATTCATCATATATTTTAAAAGAAGATTTATTACAAACACCTAATTGTGTAAAATTACATAATAAACAATGTTTAAATAATACAGATATGATTGACTTTTATCCTAGTACACATAATTTAAGTAATAAAGGATTATTTCGTATACAAAATATTCAATCAAAATTATTTAATGATGAAAATGAAGAGGAGAAGAGCTTAGGTACAACTTCAATATTACCAAATGTTACATGTTCTATACCAGGTTTATCAACCAGTAAACATTTTTATTCGTTTCATAAACCTAAAAAAATTAATAATTCAATTGAATGCAATAGTAAATTATTGGATATAGCAACATTAAAAGACCATTCTAAATTATATAGTGGAAGTCTTAAAACTAAAAATTCTTCCGTAACACATTTAACATCTGATAAACATCATCATCATCAACATCATCATCATCGTCATGAACTTCAGTGTTCAGGTTCTATGATCATTAGTAATAATAACAGTACAAATGTGCAAACAGCGAATGTCTGTGATTAACGCTTGCTTTTTTTGCTAGTAAGTTACTTTGTACAGATAGTTACAAAATATATATTTATAAACTGATATGTATTTTGTGCTGTACTTTCAAAAGACACTTATCAGACTAACAACTTATGAATACAGAATCAATTCGCCAGAGACTTTCTACGATAAAGTAAAATCCTTTTTTTCTTATCCTAAAATATTACTTTTATGGTCAAACTTGTAATTTTGTCTCCGACATTGATTGCTTTCTTGAAGAAACATAGTATATTTTTATTTGACTAGAATGACTATCTCTATGAGAAACAGTTTTTAAGTCAGTCATTTATGAGAGAAAAATTGTAATAATGTGAAACATTACTTGAAATTTCTATTGATTTTTTATGGACTACGTTTAGACCATGTGTAATAGAACTGCCTAATGAAACGGAGGTTATATTTTTTTAAATTATGAACTGGTGACAGTTGTTTTGGTATCCAGAAGTTAAAACTATTTAAACCTATATAAATAGATAGCTCGTTAACTCCCACAACAGTTGTTGAGGTTGTGCTCAAATATTACTACTATTGTGATGTATACATCAAACGTCTCTGTTTTGTTAGTTCATTTGACGTACATTAGGAATGCTTCTATCTATCTATTTATCTATCTATCTATCTATCTATCGATCGATCCCAAGTTCATTTCTTGGTTTGAAGACTTTAAATTGCCAGATCAAATGATTTTATAGGTAAATACTGAAATCACTTCTAAGATAACTAAGATCTCTCGTATTTATGATGTAAAACAATAACAGAAGTCATATGAATTTAGCTACAAAAATTAGTTGGAATTGTGTTTTCTTTATCTAAATCCACTTACAGACATACTTGGTGCATTGAATGTGCCATACCAATTAAACTGTTGATTGTAGTTTTCCATATGTAAGATGACAAACAAAATAAAAGATAATTCATTTAAGTCAAAAGTCTTATGATTTTTTTAACGAGATTAAAATATGAATTATAATTAATGTCAACAAGAATACACTACTGAAATGTCTTGATAGCTTACAATCAACATAAACTGAAAATATATTCTTTGAGGTTGTTGATAATGAAATTGTATATTCGGTTGTTGTTAGCATTACTGATCAAATCCGAATTTCAAGCTTCATAAATTACGCTGTTAAATAGGCAGAAGTATGATACACAGGTAAACTCTACTATCGACAAATGATGTTCAAGGGTGAAATTAACCACAAGACAATTACTTACCAATAATTTTTATGTACCCTTTTAATTTTTTTCACAATTAATATCAGTGTTTTTTCGAGAAATAAAATCGTTATCAATCAAATTGGGATATACACAATCTTGAGAGTATAGTTGGGTACAATCACTAAGTGATGCACTAGACATTTTGACAAACTGTAAAAGAAGTTCACGTATCGCATTAAATTATTTCATACAACCCTCAGTTCATGGAATGGGAATTTCGATAGCCGTATACGTTCTATTAAAAGGTTTAACTAATTATTCATCAGAAGTAAATAATCACCAAAATCAATACGACACGTGTCTTCAAAATTATATTTCGTAGCATACTTGAGGGTTCAAGCTCGTAATCTTTGATTTTATGATCATTTGATTGAATTATCTTGTGGGATTTCGCTCGTTTTTTTATTCGAATTAGTGGCTTCCGTTTAACTAATTAGTAGATTTCTTGAAATCTTCATGATATGATGAGATGGTTTTTTTAGGAAAAGCGATGGTTTTTATAACACTGTAGGCATCTTTTCGAAATAATAACTTTGAGTGCGTCTAAATTCTGTCTTCTATGACAGCTTTTTCTTCATACATCAAATTTCCAAAGCAAAGCAGATAATCCCCAAATACATGACCACCTGAGTTTTAAATTCAATTCTCTTGTATGAAACTCCACTGAGATGACAAATACATTAAGTGGAAGTTTTGTATGTATTCAACAAAATATGAATTTCAGAATTGTCCAAACCTACTGTAGTAGCTTATATTGGACTAGCACGTAAAGATAAAAAAATGAACCAGAATTTAATGTATTGAAATATGTGTATAATGAATACAAGCACTTACGAACCATTTATCACTTTATAAAGGTATTACACTATGTTCCTCGAAGTTTATTGGTCATTCATCGAGATATCGGCGATATTGCTAAAAACGTTCGATTAGGTGTATAAAAAATCATTAGTATTACTGATGGTTTTCGGTAGTTAAAATAAACTTGAGTGGCTGAGAGAGAAATTCCGGATAATCAGTGTGTTTTAGGATGTTTTGATTTGCTGTCAAACATTCAAATACAAATTCCAGGTTCATTTTGATTCTTTTCATTAATATCTGGAAGCAATCTAGAAAAATAATATATCCAGGGAATGCATGACAGAATTTTCAGAAAAACCTCGTTTCTTTCATTAGTTCAAGCTAAATATATATTTATTTAATCCATAACTCAACTTCTGTTTATTTACCGATTTCAGATTAAAGTAATTGCATTATATTTGATAGATGTTTGCTTGTAAACTGATAACTGGTTTCCCACATAAAAATGTCAAAGTTAACTTGAATTGGCCCAAAGGATGTGTACACAATGGAATTGCTCCTTGTTAGCAGGGATGGAATTTTTCGTTCAAAATTCATACATGAATATATATTGATTTTCATAGACTGATTTATTATTGAACTGCAAAGAAAATTTTTTAGATTTCAGGGAGCGCAATTTTCCACTGAACAATCATTGAAACGAATCTTTTCACCGACATAAAAAAGTATCCAAAAGCTTAGTTACAAAATTGGTTTTTATGCAAGTCAGTGGTGTTTGTTGTGTTTGGGTTTCCGTTAAACAGTGAAATGAAAAAGGACTGAATTTCGTTAACTAGTGTTTGCTATCTTCCTGAAAATAGCTTTATTAGGTCAATTAAATTAACATAGCAAATGTAGAACTCTACTAACAAAAACCTCAGGTTAATAGGTAACTCCTGAAATTTTCGTTCTCGGTATATGCAGATTTACGGAGATTGTAGAATTCTCGTTATTTAAATCATAAACTGATCTTAGTTAAGTCATCACTGAAAACCTGAGAGCATTAGACATCCGTTTTGCCTTTATATGGAACTCTTCAATAGTGCTCATCCACGCACTTGTATCTGAACATTGAACCCAGTATTCTCGTTTTCATGCGTGAACACATAGCCTCTCTCTCTCTCTCTCTCTCTCTCTCTCTATATATATATATATATATATATATATATATATATATATATATACTTTAAGAATACCTCAAATCCATTATCAATTCTTCCCTCATCCAATAACGTGTAGAGCTATTCCAGCAGAAAGCCAAACTGAGTTAAGCATAGATCGTCAATTCTGATGTAAATACCAGCGTATAATTAAATAAAAAAACTTATTGACAATAATTTATTGAAAAACGGACAATAAAACAAAATCTTTTCCGATGACCTAATAAATTGAAACTGAACACTGTGGATTTTATCCATTATGTATTATTGTAATTTTTGTTTTAACTAAGGGAAGTTGTGGATGATGAAGTTTTTTTAAAAGTTGAGTTCACGGGTTGACCTAAGCTAAATCATCATTGAAAACCTGGAATCACTTGACGGCGGTTCCGTCCTAGTATGGGACTCCTCAACAGTGCACTCCGGACGTGAACCCAGGACCATCAGTCTTGAGCGTGAACAGTTGAACACTAGATCACTGAGCCGGCATCTCATAGTGTTAATGTTTAACCTCAATCGATCCATGATCTTGTGCAACCTTTCATCCATTATCTGAGGTAGATTCCTGCCTCTACCCGACACGGATTGGACTCCACTGGTCACTGCTCCTCACTAGACTTGCAAGAAATCTATCCTGAAGCTAGTCACTAGTTCGCAGGCGAGAAAGGTTTTGGGTTCGAAATGTGCACGCAGAATAGTGGATGCGCACTGCTGAGGAATCCTATACTGTGATGAAACGGCTGTCATTTATAATTCAAATTTCTACATTTAAAATAAAACTCCACAGTGTAAACAACTTACCAAATTTTACTTTATCTTCTTATATTATGAGGTGACAAGTCAAACAACTTTTTTATAGTATTTTTCGCAGTACATTTTTTACACAAACACCTTTCATTGTATTTCCTGTCACAGGCTTAAATAGCTTGTAATTATCAGTAGACATACATACATATATATTCATATGACAATACTTCTATTATTTTCCTATCTAAAAATACGGATAGACATCGGTTTCCTCAGTAATTGTCATTAATTCACTTTTTCTTAACACTTATTATATTATGAATTAGATGAAATGATGTCTTATTTTGTAATATTGATTTAATAGAATGACACATATGTTAAACATACTGAAAATTTATGACATACTACAATCTGTGTGAATAACATTTCCAAGGTATACATGACACATATAGCGAATATGTAATTGAAACGAGGCAAAAATTGACATTATTACAGCTTTTAAAACGTTGTGTAGAAATTGTCAAGAACGAATTCTCAGGTTTATTGAAGACTTGGTTATTCGTAAATTTAAACCACCCTTATGTGTTCAAAAACAATGTGTTGTGACCTTGTATTTACCCTGGTAATCCTTAAGACATTCTATGACCTAGGATAACGCGACAATTCCGTATTCTTTCTATACGATGAAAGATTATTTCTCTCCCCTTTGTAACCTTTTTTACTTGAACTTTCATTTAATTGACATATACTTTATGATGTTTTCAAATGTTTGTAAAGAATTTTAATTTTTAAGGAAAGATATAAAATTGAAGGAAAACTGTTATTTTTGATTGATTTCTCTTTATATTTATATGCTGTTGTGATGTTTGTATGAACCAATGATTCTTTTGTACTTGATAATTGCCTGGTTTCGAATTCTGAATACAATATGTTCATTAGTGCTCATCTAGTTATTCTTGGTCTTAATTGCGTTATTTCTGGGTGATATGATGGAAAGAAAAGCCCATTTTCGATTGATTTATTAATTAT